TTCGGAGTTCCTATGGAACCCGAAGCCAGTGAGCTCCCAAAAGGCCTCGTGCTAGGTAAGGATGGGAATATACATTTAAGGATCACTCCCCTGGACGATGAGAGATGTCACAATCTTAATCAAATGTTTCAAAAGCTTAATCAAAAACTCAAAAAACATAAATGTTTAATTGTAAAAGTCTAAAATGAGGCATTTAATTCTAATTTTCTCTTTCTAATAAGCATCCCCGATTAAGTAAACGTTGCATGGGACCCCAAGTCCCTTTCCATGTCTCATACATTGTCGCAATCGTGCTTAGATTGAGAGAATTGTATGCTAATCTTTGGAGATAATTTCCCCTTTGACCCATCTATTTGTTGGGTGTTACGTTGCTTAGGAGGAAATACATTAATATTTTTTAATTATCCGAATTGAAAATGTAGCGGTTGCATAAAATGATGTGGACAAGTTAGGCTCTTATCCACACATATATATAGATATCCATATCTGTTTTATCTTATATAAAATGTCGTGTATTGCAAAACAGATATGTAATGATTAGCTCTTAAGTTTGATTTCGAAGTCATTAAAAATATATTTTAGTTAATGGAAGTAGTGATTAGAAAAATAATGTAATCATTATCTTATTGGAATTACTATGAAAATCCTAGAGAGACATGTTTTTAGACCAAATTTTATAAGTCATGTGATGTGGCAGTTGATGATTGAGTTTTTTTTTTTAAAAAAAACCTCAACCGTCAATTGTCACATCATGTGGTTTACAAAATATGGTTAGAGTAAATGGGGACGAATTCCAGACCTGTATTTCACATGGCACGTCCTTAATTCGATTCATGACATTGGTAAATCACACGATTGGGGGGGGGGGGCAAAGGGAGGTTGCAATGCCTCTATGAGTTTTTACGACCTTCGAAAAAATGGAATATTGTGACAAAATTAACAACTGGTCTTTAAAAAAAAAAAAAAAAAAAAAAAAAAAAGTAAAAAGAAAGAAAGCATAGGAGAAGGTGTAACTTAAGTTCAAATTTTCAGCATTAATATTTTCTTGATTTTTACATTACTGCATTTTTTAAATTCCCTTTAGTTCTTGGTATGGACGCAATTATGCAAACTCCATAAATTATGATGCGTATGATGGTGCATATAGTTAATGTTGGCACTGAGGCCAGTCTAGAGATTTTTGAGGTTCGGGGCAAAGTAAAAAGTTGTGCCCTGATTTTATATAAAAAATTATTTGTTTTTACACGTAAGACATTGATACAATTATATTTAGAAAAGCACTTCAAACTTAGTAATTTAGAACACATGGAAAAACTAATTTATTTTGTATTGAAAGAAGGAAACCAAAAAACTTCAGGTGTACAAGTAGATAGATTATGGGTTTTGTGTTCTATCTGAACTTTTAAAGTGATTTTGTATAAATCGTGAGATATTTTTTCTTATTTACTAACCTCGTCAATATATGACTAAAAAATACTAATATTTTCAAATCTTTAGGGATATGTATAAGTAATGAATGGGCACCAAATTAAACCTTTTGATGACACGTCATCAAGGTTCTAAAAATCGTTAGGCGCTAGTCGAGCGGCGGGCAGGGGCCTAGCTCCTAGGCAACTAGGCGAGGCCTAGGCAAATTTATGTAAATTTATTATATATCTTGTAAATAAGTGCCTATTTACACCTAAAAAAAAAAAACTATACTCGTATGGATAATAAAAGAATGATAAAATGAAAAAAATAGAAGTAGAAGAACACACAAATTATATACAACAAAAAAGTTCAATATTTAAAAAATAGTAAGCATATAATCATAATGAGGAGGATTTGGATGATAGACTAAATTCTTCTTGTTCATGAATCATGATCCTTGTATTAGATTAGACATAGACTAAATTATTTAACCTTGTTATATCTAGTTTATTTATTTTCTTTGTATGTATCCCCTTAAAAGTGCTCCAATTCGTTTCACTATTGGATGAACTTGTAGTAAATCCATCATTTGCAAATTAGGTACACTATTTCCATAAGTATTCCACCATGAAACCAAAAAAGAAAAAAGCACACAATTAATAAAAAAATATATATATAAACCGCCTCGGTGCTGCCTAGGACCGCCTAGCTTCCAGCTGATTTTTCCAAACGCCTTGCTCAAAATCGTGGCAGGGCTCCACCGCCTTGTGCCTAGGCCGCTGCCTAGGCCAATTTTTAGAATAGTGTACGTCATATGATTTACAAATTTGGTCTAAAAATTTAATATGCGCATTACTTTTTGTTGAAGATTAGACTTCAATTGGAACTAATGTTTAAAAATAGCAACCCCCATAGTTACTAGCTAGTAATTAAAATTAAATTAACAACAAAACAAAAATTCGTAAAAATTTTGAAAAATAAACATGCACATAACATTTCGAACTTAGGACCTCTCGTTAATTTTAAGTACAAAAACCATTGCTTCTAATTAAACTTCTAATTATTTAGTCAAATTTTATAAATTTATACTGTTATGAAAATAAATTTGTAAAAATTGGAATTTAAATAAGCACACATGGTGTTTTGAACCCAATACCTCCTCATTAATTTCAAACAACAAAATCACCGATTCTAGTTAAATTTCTTTGTAATTAAACCAAATTTTATAAATTTATATTCTTATGAAAACGTATATAAATATGCACACTAATAATTTTGGTGCCCCTAATTTTTTTGGGCCCTAGACGGTCGCCCTGCCAGCACTGGCCCTGGGTCGGCCCTGTTAGCACTTATTATACATCTAACTGTTGTGTACATTGCATATGATTTTCAATTATTAACTCGCGAGATCTTTATGGTGAAATTCATGATAGGTTAAGTTATTTTATGAACTAGTATAATAGTTTAGTTCAAAATTTTCATTGACGAAAACCAAACTTAAACCACAAGACCGTAATGCTCAGTGGTCAAGAACTTATATGTGACAATTCAAGTTTTCTCTTGTGTGGGGACAGTTTGAATTAAACTCTTTCCTTAAGGCGGGTTGATACCGTGAATTTAGGCCTCATAATTTTTTGCACGAACCATTAACTCGACACGAAAAATTCTTGCATAAAAGTACAAGTTGCATAAAATTCAATATGATTGTTTGGGACAGCCAAATTCCTTGTTTCACATTGGATTCCATAGTCATTCAAATTTGCAGTTCGTATAACTTCTTACATAAAAGAATCTTCTCCCTCCTCTTAGAAATTTCTGACTTTGAATGGGTGTGCTATCCATGCAACTTTTTACTTCTCACTCATTTTTTATTAATTTTTGTCTATTAATTTTCTTCAATTCATCTGATTCGACTGCCAAAAATTAGAATAGTGTGTAAAAACTAAAAAGAGGTATGTGAATATCACACCCCCTTAAATAATTGTTTCAGTACACTCGACACGCATGTCAAATGCCTTCTTAACTGGGCTAACATACACATTTATAGCCCACACCAGCCCAGCCCAAGTGGATCATATTTAGATCACATTGGTTCTGCAGATCCTGGGCCCAAAAGGTAATTGGGCTGTGAGCTTATCAAATAACTTCACAGACCAAGAACGAGATTGCTCCTCTGTTGTGGAGTGATGGAGAAATCGTACCATTCAAGCCTTTCGTCGATGTCAGAAGAAAGCTACAACCAGTAAGATTTCCAGATTCCTTCTATCCCGGGGGTTGGTGGGCGCTGGCAATGCGGAAGAACTGCAATAGCAGTGGTCCAAGTTCGACTCTTACTCAACTCTACAAAGGCTACCTCTCACGGTATTTGTGTAGTTCATTTATGTTGAACAATCGCTTATCACGAGTCTTGATTTAACTAAGCATCACGAGTTATTGATTTGATTCATAAGATCAGAGTTTGCCTTGTTTATACTCAATCTAGTATATACCAACTTCAGAATTACTCGAGCATGCAGAGTAGGAAGAGACTCCATGTTAGAAAGAAAAGAAAAACACACACAAACATAATTATAACCGTCCGTGTACCAAAACACTCGCCGTGGATTGTGTTAAAATGACATGGTTGATGTAACATTTTGTAGAAGTTTACCGACGGAGAAACGTAAACGTGAGTCCGTGACAAGGAATCTGAAGACTGAAAACAGAGAAAACAACAAAATACAAAGTCAAAAGGAGAGAGCAAAAAGCAGTCACCGCCCTCAAGTTTTACCACTTTTTGCTAACCTTATTGTAATGGTTAAAAATTTTAAACGCAACTTGGTCCAAAGCCTTCAAAGCTTACTTTGAATAGTAAAATTAAATTTTACTAAAATAGCACAAACCCACTTTGAAAAATTCACTTGATTTGATTTATATGAATAACCAAGCGGTTTTCAAAACAAATAAATTCTTTTTAAAATGGTCTTTAGATTATGATGTTTTTACGATAAAATGATGTCACCTCGACAATAATAAAAAAATGATTGTGTAAAGAATCAACAAGCAACTACATATACATATAGGATGGTTATAAAATAATAATAATAATAAATAAATAAAAAAAACCCCTCATCTCTTAATTCAACAATCACATGGTTTGACTAAGTCCATATTTTGTGACGCTAGCTTAGAACACATGCACTTATGAAATAGAATCAAACTAGTACAATTCGACCAACCAAATTAAAGGACATTTGGAACGTCACTTTGTAACCCATGTGTTATTAGGTGTAAGATTAATAACTAATACGCATATCATAATTTGAACGATAAGACCATGTTCTAATTTATGAGAAATGAAAACGAACTCTATTATCAAAAAAATCAAACCTAAATCTCTCATTTTTATAAATAGAGAAAAATAATACTAAATCGTAATATCAACGTCAACTGTTTTAATGTTAATTCATCTCCATGATTAAAAGAACCAAATAATACAAGGTCAAATACACATCCATTTGCTGGGCATCTATCTTGTTAAGCAAGAAACAATCTCACACACAAAATATTGTAAGTAAAATTGAACAACGAGGGCATCCGTACAATGGTCAAGCGTTTTATTTATTGTTTATTTATTTCAAGGTGCCACCATCTTTATAAAGTCCTTCCTCCCCAAAACCGTCTGCATTTTGCGCGTCTGAATTTTTTCTTTATCGTCTCTGTCCTTTCTGGTTGGTCCTTAGGGAGTGAGTGAGGGCACACAGTAAGCAACCATGGGACGCGCTCCATGCTGTGACAAAGACAACGTGAAGAGAGGCCCGTGGTCTCCGGAAGAAGACGCAGCTCTCAAGTCCTACCTCGAGTCTCATGGCACCGGCGGCAACTGGATTCTTCTCCCTAAAAAAGCTGGTCTCTCTCTGTCTCTGTAAATTCGATCTTTTGGGCTCAAAAGAATGAAAATTCTAGGAGAAATGAGAAAGGGGTTTTATTTTCTTTGCCAATCTCTGCAAAAGTTCTCAACTTTATTAATTTTTTTCACACTTTGTAGGTCTGAGGCGGTGCGGGAAGAGCTGCCGTCTGCGGTGGCTGAACTATCTGAGGCCAGACATCAAACATGGAAGCTTCACTGAAGAGGAAGACAGCATTATCTTCAGCCTCTACAACCAGATGGGAAGCCGGCAAGTAAACAAATTTAAATGGTTATTTAAAAAAAAAAAAAATCTTAATTTATAATACGCAACATTTAATTTGATCAGTTTTCTAATTTATTTGCATTTTTTAAATTTCCCCCATTTTTTTAGATGGTCAGTCATTGCTTCTCACATGCCTGGAAGAACAGACAACGATGTGAAGAACTATTGGAATACCAAGTTAAAGAAGAAACTTTTGGTTTTGGGAGGAAAGGTAAAGAATATCAGTAGTGAAGAGAGAGAGCCCACGATTACAAACAATGCCAATTTTTCTGGAATCCCAAAAACTGAGGAACCTCAAGACCCTGCCTTCTCAACTTTCCAAACAGCCACATTGCAGACGCTATCCGATGTGAACTTCGGACTCAATGCCTACAACCAGACGCTGAGCTTAAACCCTGATCAGTTATACAGCCCCAAGCCCTTGGGTTTTTCGAATTTCGGTGCAAGTTCAAGGAGGAATTTCAGCACCACTGTTTCATTGTCTCAGGAAGGATCGAGCGTTTCGGATTCGTCTTCGATTGCTGGGAATGGTTATCTTGATCAGGATTCTTGGTTTTGTATGGATTATGGATATGGTATGGCTTATGATAATAATGTCAATTACTATGGCATGTGTTTTGAGAAAAAAACCAGTGAAGCTGTCCCATCAGGCTGCACGGATTTGGGTGAATTGTTTTCAAGCTGAAATTTACAACTACTGAAACAAAAGGGTTTGAATTGGCAAAGGAAATGGGGGGAAGAAAAATCACAAATTAGTTAGCTAGAAATGCTTTAATTTCTATCTTTGATATTAATTTTTTTCACTTGCTCTAGTTTTCAGTGTTGTTTGGAACTCTGGTGCTTTTGATAGATGGGAACATATTATGTAAATCAAATTCAAGTAAATGGCTAGTTTATGAACAATATGCATTGATCTTCACCATTCTCTCTACTTGTCACTTCATGTGATCATCTTTGTATTTATTGTGTAATGTGATTGAAATCTTGTGTTTGTTTTGTTCATGGATGAGAACACATTATGTAAACCAAAATAAAGTCGATAACTAGTTTATGAACATGCATTGATCTTCCATTCTCTCTATTTGTCACATCAAGTAGTTGTACGTCTCTATATCTCTCGCATCACGTGAATTAAAATTCTACGTGTTTGTGCTCTATGTGAAAATTTCAACTTTCTCAAATTTGCCATTGTTGGGTTCTGAGAAATTTCTGAACATGATGGCCTCATCATGTTTGCCTGTTTCCCTTGTAGGTCAGAGGTCATGAGTTGTGCGGGAGTCTGGCCAATTCAAAGTTCATGTCCCTCTCTCGACACAACAACCATAAAGATATTCTGCCCTAGCTGTGTTGATTTTTACAGTCATAACATACATCACGTTTGCAAGTTTGGGATATGAAGTGGTAAAAATCAAAGGTTGTATATGGTCAATGAATTATTTAACAAAAAAAATATATATATATGTCAAGCAAAAATAATAATTCTTCTGATTCTAGAATATTTCACTTTCAGTTATACGGAGACAAAATCAAAACTAAACTTAAGAAACAACTACTCTGGTCCGAACTAGTCTTGTAACCTTTTGAAAGTTGAGGATACCATGAGAACGAGATTTTTTTAACTGTCTTCGAAGATGTATCTCTCTTCGTATCTTGATCTGATGACAAAAAATATCAAGAAAAGCTGAAGATAAAACACGGTTGTATGTTAAAATCTCTGGCTCAGTCAGCGATATGAACACATTGTAAGTTTGCAGCATCATATTTGTCAGACTCACATGCATTATCATCATATTATAAGCTTTTAATTATTCATGCAGATTGCGGTGTGCTGCCGAAGGTTAGTTGTCACTGTTTGAAAGCTGTAGTTCAAATCAAAATATTAACTTAAATTGGATCGAATTGTTAATTGTACGGTCAAGTACTTTGAAGTCTGACTATTCAAGAATCCAGACTACATAATATTAAAAAAAAAAAATTAATAGGTGGCGAAGCTATGATAATTTACTCTTTAGAGAGTAGAGAAGACTTACAGAGATATTGCAAAGTTCCCTAATCACTATCGTGTAGTTCACATGCGTCAGGAATCAAACCTAAAATTATCCGTATAAAATACGAGTTTAAAATTCATCCCACAACTGGGCTACTCCGTAGTGATTATCGAGAGGACATAATTAAATAAAACAAAGGAAATGTTATTGGCACTTTAGAAATCTCATTCTACACTCCTCACAAGTGTATTTTTCTTTCCTAATATAGAAAGTTTGGAGTGTAGAATGAGATTTTTGGAGTGCTAATAATAATTCCCTAAAACAATTGTGTGTGAAGACTTTTTCATGTGTTAAGGCTAAGCCATTATTTAAGCCTCAACCACTTCATTTATTAACTTCATTAGACTTTTTCATATGTTAAGGCTAAGCCATTATTTAAGCCTCAACCACTTCATTTATTAACTTCATTAAACTTAGTTAATCATCATTGTTTTCGAATAGCATAATTTAATAAACCATTGTAGTTTGTTAGTCATCACCTTAAAATATGAGATTAATTAATTAATTCACATGCTATAAACTATCAAAACATTGCATATGCTACATCTATGTGAGATGCCGTAATTAGGGTTTGTTTGACAGGCTTTAATCTGGTGTTTAAGTTTCTTAATTAGTGTTTATATTCCAATAAAAGAGAGGTTTAGAAAACTTGGGCTTCAAATTTTGTTTTCTATCTGTCCCTCTCAGGTTTTCACATTGAACTCTAAAAATTGCAACTTAATGAATGTAAGTTATCTGCTTCTTGGTGGCATTATCTGTGGATGAATATCCCTTCCCCAAATAAATTTTAGAACACAACCAAAAATATGCATACATCCCATGTATCCCAAATAGTAATTACCCATCTAAGAGATATGTCCCATTTTGATCTTTCTTGCTCAGCGTTCATCTTCCGAATGATGACTTTGATGAATGAGAAAAAGAGAGAGGTAACATATCCACATGACGTGGGAGTTTTTCTTATCGTTTTCACACTTGAGCAAATGCTTGTGGAAGTAAGCAAAGGCAACCTTGTTCTCCATTTCTTGTTTAAGATATAAATCAAGTGAAGAATCTTTCAATTAATCAGATATGATTAAGAACAAAAACACCAACATTACTATTTTTTAAGCTGGAATCAGTGAGTTAAGATTGGACATACATCCCTTTCAAATTCTTGTTTATGACAGACAGAGTGATCGCAAGTCAAAGGAAAAAAAAATAATCTTATAAATGCCATTGCCAACTTTGTTGTCTGTCTAAAAGTTAGAATCTGAATTAGTAAAATATTTGAAAGTCCACATCAAAACAATATGTATAAGTTCTTGTTTTTCCTGGATATAGTCAAAAGATGATAGATTGATGGTTGATGGTCCCCCATCTTTTCTGTTTTGTTCTATTAAGTAGGGGAATCTTGTGATATTTAAACATTGCAACATAATATGATTTGTTATGGTGGTGGAGGTGGTGGTGAAGGTGATGATGCTGGGTGATGGTGGTGGCGGCAACAACAGTGGTGGAGTGGTAGTGGCCACTCATGGATGAATTTGTACTACATTTCTATGTGTGAATCCAAACAAAGTATTGATGCACGTCTATATGTAAATTTTGACTTTTGTTCAAATTCTAAGTTTATTTCCTTCGTTCAAATAGAAAATAAGTAGAGGGAGTTGTTATTGACATTCAAAAATGTCATTATGCACTCATCTATACAGTCTATACAAATTTTGCCCTTGTGTTTTTATATAGTTAGAGTGTTAATAACATCATATAAGCCTGTCATTTATCTGTACTACACGTGATTGTGTTTCAGTACTCTACAATTTCTTTGTTCTCTCTGTCATTGAATCCTACGATACATGGTATTAAAGAGGGTTTGTGGTGTAGTGTATGAATCTGATCTTTCATGTCCCTTTGCAATATTTGCGTGCATGTTTGCGGCTTTTGCCCACTTCCATACGACGACGTTTTATATCTTTAAATATGCATGGATTCAAAAATTGACATTGACAAAAGAGGACATCAATAATTGTATCACTAAACTATAACGTTGTTTTCCCATCTGGTTTTTTAGTCTTTGAACTGGGGGAAAGAGGACACAGAGGGTCCCACTAGTTTTACAAAGAAGCCTACAATATTCGAGTAAATTACAAAGTACACACTTCGTTATCTAAACTTAACTATCTGTACAGTGTGTCCTCAACATCAAATGCAGTATAAAAAGTTTACTAGTCAGTATGGAGAGAGTCCCAGCGATTCGCATCGTCGTCCAGAGTTTATTAAGCGTCTGCTGCTACATGTTACTACTGCACTCAGAGAAACGAAACCCGTCAGATTGAATGGAATTAACATAACGAAAGGCAGATGCATCAAATGCTTGCAGAAACATAACTCTTATTCAAATTCCAGCACATGAAAAGATCAAACAAATAAACTATCGGTGTCTTTCTCAATTGTCATAAGATGCATGTTAAACGTTTTCAGCACGATGACTTTTTTTAAAATGACCTGCTTGTTATTTGAATGATGTAATCTCCGTGGAGTGCAACTACCGTAATTCAGCAATAGTTGATAGCGACATACATGTGGACCGTTTTCAGCATGCCATTTTTTTTCTTCTAAAATGACCCGTTGTGCTTTGAATGATAATCTATGTTGTGTGCAGTGACCCTAACTGAGCAGTAGTTGATGGTTGATACAATTAAGAAATCTTTTTCAAGTTTTGTGATAATTTAAATCACATTATGTGCATTACCCACTTGAATGATAAACTATCAGGGTTGTATTATCAAGAGAAATGATCTACCTGATACACATATATAACCGCTTAAAGTGCCATCTCTGCCTGTAATGCAGCAAGCTCATCTTCCTCACGGTTATTTCTTTGAGGAGCTGGTCGTGTTGGCTGCCTGCCTACTTCAGGATTTACAGATACTGGAGGTGTGGGAGCTGCGGGAGCACTTGTGGCTGGCTGAAGAAGCTCCTCCTCCAATTCAGCTCCTTCTAGTTCTTCAAGCTCTGCTTCCAATTCATCCTGCGAAAATAAAATTGTAATATTTGAACTATTGGATTGGAAAAAGCATTGAATCTATGAACTAATAACTTGCAAAGACAATACCTCATAAAAAAAATGTAATATTTGAACTATTGGTTTGGAAAAAGCAATTGAATCTATGAACTAATAACTTGCAAAGACAATACCTCATCAAAATCAGCTGCTGCACCGATAGGTGCTGACAATGCCTCCTGAATTTGTTTCATGCTTTCAGTTTGGTCATTGATCTCATCCATTGTTTTCTCCAAATCATCAATTTTCCTGTAGGAAAAACAGGCCAAAGTTGAGTTACACTATGCAGAACAAAAGGATACGGAATGCTTCCTTTGACAGAACCTCCAAAGATAATCATTCTTCAAAACAAAGCAATGTAAACAGAAAGTGAAACAAGTAATTTAAGACGTATTTACGAATATGCTATAGTTATGGAAATGATGGACCAATGAATCTATAACTTCTATATAATTCAGTTCAGACAGAACTTACGTGGCCTTGTTCATGGCCTTCATTACAGAGGTTCCACTTCTCAATGCATCAACAGTTTCTGTCGTAGCGTTTGCACCTTCCAGCATTATCATCTAAGACCCCAACGCAAAACAGGTCTTCAACTTAAGCTCTCAACACATGTAACTTCATTATAGTTCAAACAATGCAACAAGTACCTGATCATGAATGCGCAATTGGAAATTTCCAAGCTGTTCAATTTGTTGTTCATAAAGCCTCTTCCTTTTTAAACACTTTATCGCCGCTGTATTAAAAATAGCAACAAGGTATACAATTTAACAATAATTACCACACAAGAACATAGGTTCCACAATCTCGCTATAAGTCTGAGTCACACAGGTCCACTCATTTTCTTTTACAACCTACAGATTTACTCAACGGAATCCACACACGATCATGAGCCCCAACCATGATTTGCGCGGAAAAATTCAGACCTAAGCAAGTAACTAGTGACTACAATTTGTTCTCCCTAGTCTTTAACATGTCCGTCCACCAAAAATGGATAACGCGAAAACAAAATTGGACACTGAACAGCCTACCCACATTCTTAAAAGCCAATCAAAATCGACATAAAGCAAAATTTCTGTTCAAATTCAATACAAAACATATCCACATATGATGTCAATTTCACAAAACATTCAAATGGGCTAACACAAAACAAAGAACGCCGAAAAAATCGAATCTAACCTGATCGGGTTTCTTACCATTTCGGTTTTTCGCTTGAGTAAATTGTTTAGCTTTCTCAGTCTCTTGAGCTGCCTTCTTCACAAGCACTTTCTCCTTCTTCTCCAGCATGTCAAGTGTCTGCAAAATCCCAAAAAGCGGACACTTATCAGAAGAAGAAAAAACCCCAAATAATTACAATCACAAAACCCAATTCCTCGTCATAATTTCTGCAAAACATAACAAATTGAATAATAAATAAAAAAACCCCAAAATTCATACATCGTTTAATTTGTGAATCGTGGGCAGGGGACCAGCCTCCTGCTTAGCCTTCCCAAACGCTCGCTTGAACATTTTCACTTCGATCGGTTCCCAGAACAAGAGAAAGCAACCGACTTTAAAAACCCTGCAACCAAATCGAAAGTTTTGATCAGTGACTTTGACCCATAAATACTTGAAAATTATATGACTGAAAAAAATAAAAAATAAAAAAGCAAAAAAACAATAGTCAACAAATGAAACTATATAAATTAAAATTATAAAAATTAAATTTATAAGAATTGAAAGAAAAAAAAATCAGACTGACAATATTGAAAACCGCGTTGAAAGGGAAGAGCTTGGGGGATCTGTGTGAGGTTGCTTGGACAGGTAAACAGTAAACCGTAAAAGTGTAATGTGGAGGGAGAACTAAAAACTGGTAGGTTTTTATGGGTAGGAAAGTTAGTTAACTTTTACTTAACGAGAAATGGAGGGAGGCGGATTTGTATAACGGGCTGTGAGGAATTGTTTGCTGACGGACGAATAGGCGAAGTAATGTGACCGGCGGTTTGTTGGTTAGTATTGTTTATGAACCGGCACGCCGAAACCTACCGGTCCAAGCGTGTGTTAATAGAAACCCAAACCCAATATTCAGACCAAAAAAAGAAGCCCTAACCCAATATTTTGGGCCGAGTGGCCAACCTAACTGTTAAAGTTTCCCAAACCCAATTTAGACACCGCAAAAACATCGTCACATTTACTTATCATGAATGAGTACGAAAAATAAATATTCGAATTCAAGAGTTTTAAAATTTAGTAACACCTAATTAATAAAAAAAAAATATGTGGGTCCGACCTTAAAATCATTGACCAAATACTCTCAAAATCATGAATGAGATCCAGAGAACTAATCGTATTATTGTGTTTATAGAATGATATTACTCTTTTACTGACAAGGTGTCATAATTTCATTGTATAAATGTTATAATCAGAACCGTTAATTCTCTTTATTATTATTCAATAACCATCTCTAGAAAATTTAATTTAATTTGAAGACCATGTAGCCGTTCGCATGTATCAAACAAACGGATGATTATGGTAATAGGCAACATAAGCTATCAATTTGTTTGATTTATATGTGACTAAACGGTTTCAGTATTGAATAAATGCTTCTAAATATGATGACAAAGATAATTACAATTCCAATTATAATATTTGTACTACAAAATATTGCCATGTACCCTAAACCCACAAAATGCCATTCCAAACTCATCCATAAAATCATCTTAAGAAAAAAGAAACACGTGAGTATTAGAGTATAATGATATTTACCTATAAATGATGGATACAAATGATATTTACCCATAAAATCATAGGAAAATTAATGAAAAATGTTTGAAAACTTTTAGTTTTAACGAAAAAAACAAAATAAAGCGTAAAGTGAATAGTACCATAATTGATTTTTTAGTATAAAAATATGATTTTTCGTTAAAATGAATAGTACCAGGAGCTTTTCGTTAAAGTACCCTAAAATAATTTGAAAAAAAAGGAAACACAAGTATTACAATGTAATGATATGAATAATACTTGAGTTCCCAAACGAGAGAATGCACATATTCCATTTCTTTCGAAAAACATATATTCACCATATAAATGTCATAATTAGAATAGTTCAATTTCTTAATTTTCATTTGAGATCATCTCTACAAAAAATCATTAGAATGAGAGATCATTTAGTCATAATAAATATATTAAACAAATTGACAAAGTATCAAGTAACACATTCATAATAAACCATCCATTTAATTGATACATTTAAATGAAATACATGATTTCCAATTCAAATGATTTTTTTAGTATGGATGATCTTTGAATCAAGATTAAAAAACTAAACAGCTGATGATGGAGTTTGTAGGATAAAGATACATTATTTGTAAAAAACGGAGTATGTGCATTCTCCCTTTGGGAGAACACAACTACTATTCTAATGATATTTGTATTTTGTTGGTGACGAGTTCAATGCTAATTTATTATGATCGACTCACTATGTTATTTAGCCGAATTGAGCTATAATATGGATCTTGGTTTGTATATTTTTGCGCTCCTTCCCCAATAGCTTATGCTACATGTAATGGATGACCTTGTTGATGTCCATATGAGCGGTTTCATTGTCACTAGCCTCTCTGCACGCACTAACGTGCGTGCGAGAGGCATTTTTGCATCACGGGCGCTACGCGCCCCAAAGATGTGTTGTTTTAGATATTCTTATATTTCTTAAGTGATTATTTTATAAATTGTGTTTGTGTCCATCACAACAATTTCTTATTATTTTCAATTTTTTATTATGTTCAATCATCTAACTTAGTCTTTTTGCACCTGCCCATTATGTATAAATATGTAGTCTTCTGAAGAAAAAAAAGCCAAGGCGTTTTTGGATGATCAGATTAATTTAATTATATAATTTTCAGTTTGACTTTAAGTTTATTGTCTGTTTCATTTATGAATATATTAGCCTCTCCGCACGCACGCATTTTTGCATCACGGGCGCTACGCGCCCCTAAATGTGTATTGCGTTAGTTTTTTTTCATTGTAATTGTCAAGATATATTTTAAATGTATTGTGGAAAGAGGAACTTTTTCGTTACCATGCACATCCTAAAAAATTATTCAGTCTTTCGTTTTCACTTTGCGTAAAGTAATGATTTAAATGTTACGCAAAGTGAAAACGAAAAACATAACTTTTTAGGACTTTATCATGTTTACAAAATTAAATAGTAAGAAATGTTAAATGTAATTGTGAAGATTTTGCATTAGTTTTTTTCCATTGTAATTGTGAAGATATAATTTAAATGTATTGCGCAAAGATGAACTTTTTCTTTACCATGCATGTCCTAAAAAATTATCATGTTTTTCGTTTTCACTTTGCATAAAGTATTGATTTAAATATTATTTATGCAATTGTCAAACAACATGGGTTAAATGTTTTCTTGCATTAGTTGATTCTTGCTAGATTGTCTGTCAACTTTTTCGTTACCATGCACGTCCTAAAAAGTCGTTAAGTTTTTCGTTTTCACTTTGCGTAAAGTAATGATTTAAATGTTATGCAAAGTGAAAATGAAAAACATGACAACTTTTTAGGACGTTATCATGTTTACAAAATTAAATAGTAAGAAATGTTAATGTAATTGTGAAGATTTTGCATTAGTTTTTTTTTCCATTGTAATTATTAAGATATATTTTAGATGTATTGTGCAAAGATGAACTTTTTCTTTATCATGCACGTCCTAAAAAGTTGTCATGTTTTTCGTTTTCACTTTGTGTAAAGTAATGATTTAAATGTTATTTACGCAATTGTCAAACAACATGGGATTTTGGATGCAAGTTCCTACATAAAGTCCATAAACAATAGTAAGTAGATGTAAATAAAAGAAGAGTAGATGAAAACATTAAGTACTCGCCTAGACTACTATAAAAAACAGTAAGTAGACATGCCAACGGAAGAGCTGACACCTATACAAAGGTGTTCTTACTATAAAAAGGTAGTATGTTGTATGTTCCTACCTGTTTATGTGAGAGGTATTTTTTTTATCACAGGTGCTATCGCCCCTTGAGATGTGTTGTGCTAGCTATTTTTTTGTCATATTGCATCTTAAAATAAAATATATCATACATTGAAAATAAAAGGAAATAAAACATAATTAACTCGCATGTAAAATGCATGAGAAAAAAAAGACTCTTTGCACGTACGAAAGCACGTTAGAAAAAGCTAGTAATGAATAAAGGAGAAATACAGCAAGGAACCAAGATATTTCATATGTATCATCTTTTCCTTGCCGTTTATCTTATTAAAATTTGCTAAAAATGAGTTGATAAGTTTGTGGCTTCATAATATAATATATATATATATATATATATATATATATATATACTATTTTTTCTAGACATATATGTTACACTTTCCCATTCCACCGCAAATTGCTTTGTCAATTCAATAGCACCACAACACTAATGCTTGTTTCCATAACTGCAAACGGAGTTTTTGAATGAGAATATGAGTTGAGGTGTAAATTGCATTATAGTATGTAGTAATTAAAGTGTACATACATTGACAAAAATAAGAAAAAAAAATAGTCATATCCAAAGGAAAATGCATCATTTGTAGCTTTCTTCACATTTTTTTTCTTATGGGATTGCTTTGATTTTTCTTGTATTGTCTTTACTGCAACCATGGAACTGACACCATTGTATAAGTGTTATTATTCTCAATAGAATGGAAATTTAATTCAACTTGGAGAAATACTATTTGAGCAGCGAAGCTTAAATCCTGCTCCACTACACTCATTTATGTATGATCAAATCACTTGTCATAGATATTGCATTGCATTTTAAACATTTGCACATAATATTTTAATTGGTATTGACAATGAAATAAAAACATTAGAGATGACCACCTCAATTATTCTAAAATCTTGAATTAACATAAAGTAATGATACAATTAGATTACCGATTGTTAGGCATTTAGAAGAAAAATAATAAAAATGAATCATTCCAAACACCAACAAAACGGAAAAGAGAACCGAAAATGGTCTTGAATCTTCAAGTTCCTTAGCCAAGCAATCCTTATGCAGTATCGCAAGCCAAAAGTCTTTTACGCCTATATAGAATTTTGTCCACATACCATGTAATTCATATTGCATTCAAAAAAGGCTTTTTCATATAAAAAAAAGTACATAGCAAATCATATACAAATTTATAGCTAGAAAAATAGTGTGCACATTTACTATTGAGAACATCTAAAATTAAACTAATAGAAATTAAACTATCCAATTATTATTACAAACAGGTTGGCAATCAGTATTAAGAAAAAGCTGCTTGACGGAAGACAATGATCTTTGTTCTTCAATCTTACAATAAAATGAATAAAGTTTTAGACATAGCTTACCAAAGAAAAAAAATGCAAAACAAAGAGTCATTTACTCGTCAACTTGTCACAAATTTGTGCAGTTTTTTATTGTCTCCAAGTATATTTTGGCTCTCCCTCTAAATCGCTTTCTCTATCCCCATGTAGTTTATATTTAATTTAATTCCTTATCACATTTGGTATATATAGTTTATCAGTAATACAAATTGGAATTTATAAACACTTACAATGCCAAGTTGTTAACATATATACTTGAGCATCTCTGATCTTCATCCCAATCGTCGCTGTCTCGGAGTCTTAGTAATTTGCACCCCACGGTCACCTCAGACCTTATTCAAAGACTGCGTCGAAAAAGAAGGGGCCGCGTTCCATCGTTAAGGGCCAGGGGAAAACGATTTTTGGTTACAAAGAAACCAATCAAACATCATATCAACCGCATAAAACCCCATATAATATGCTATTTTTTTTATCAAAATAATACGCGGATTATGCAGACAAAAAAAAATAGCGAGAAATAAAAAAGAACAATACAAATAGATAAAAAGTACCAATTAACAGAACAAAGAGAGCTAATGTAGAATAGAATATATTTATGAGAAGAATTGGTTCTCTTCAGCGTGTGGATTACATTCTCTTAGAAGAGGCCAAGGCTATCTTCTTGTTTGTGCCTGTCCATGAGATAACTCAAAACATTAAGTATATGAAGTTTAAAATTAAAAAAAAAACAAAAAGACAACAAAAGAAAGCTGAGCAAATGGGGAGTAAGAGATCAAACAAACAGTGTGTGGTTGAATAACCTTCTTGGTTATCTTCTAGGGAACACCATCTTGGTTCTCTTCTGGGGAAAATTATGATAGTCTTACCTCCTTTGCCGAAGCCTTGAAAATTCTGCCTTCTTGTTTGTGCCTGTCCACCACTTTTAAAATCCCCAAATCAACTTTGAACTGCAAACCCATATTGTAATTCAATAAAACCTGAACAAAGTGAATTAGGATTAAACAATTCGATGTTGAAGAAGCATCAAATGAAATAAGGTGGACCGGTACCCATAAATTATATTAAAGGAGAAGCATAGATGAAGAAACACCAAATTGTAAGGTGGACGAAGAAGCACCAACAAAAAAAGAGGGGTACGTGAAGTTGAGTGGGTTTCTCCCGAATTGAAATGTGGGGTAGTTGGGGTTTTAATCGTGCAACTCTGCAACCACTACAACTGCTTGTGGGGAGTTTGTTGGGTTTGGGGTGGCTTCAGTCTAGAACTCTGTAACTGCATAACTGCTTCTCTATATTTATTTATTTTTTTGGTTTTTTTAGAGAGAAAGAATGTGATGAGTAATCAAACGGTCATAATTAATCTAAAAGTATGGGTGGCTTTCATATTTTGTTTATTACGATTTTAACCTTATTTTATTTGTATTTTACGATTATTACCCATTTATATTGGGATAGTTTTGTGCTGTTTTATTGAAAAGAGAGGATATTTTTGGCATTTTGGAATGCTTCACCAAACTGGAGCTCTCCCTTTATATATATAGATTAATGATACAACTTAGTTTGGTTTGGGGTGATGTCTTTTTCCACCAAAAAATAAAGGAAAGTGTCATTAGCATTCTAAAAATTTTATTTTACACTCGTGTATTTTTCTTTCCAAGTATAGAAAGTTTAAAGTATAAAATGAGAATTTTAGAGTGCTAATAACAATATAAATATTGAATTATTTTGAGTTGGGTGAATTTTAGAGTGCCAGAATAGGCACCCAATTCTCTCTCTCTCTCTATCGCGGGGCCTCGTTGGCTTTTACCGGTACTCTGTAATTTAAAAGCCACAAAATAACCACCCGATTATTTCTCTCTCCCTCTCTCTCTCTCTCTCTCGCGTCTGGCGACGCACGCCGAGATCTGAAAATCCTTTCCTTTCCTTTTTCTTCAACTTTCTACTCAAAGGTCCTTCTTCTTTCTTCCTTAATCTTCTTGCATTCCTCCAAAATTTGACTTCTATTTCTCTGATTCAGTCGCAATTTTGGTTCTCCAATCTCATCGCGCATTTCCGAATTTTTCAGATTCGTCATGGATTTCATGAAGGTCTTCGATCAGACGGTCCGAGAAATGTCAGTTTTTATTGCGATTTTACGCAATTTTTCCGTTTTAATTTGATATTGCTTGCAATTGAATTGACATTTTGTTTGCTTAATCTTGATGTGCAGAAAGAGGGAGGTGAATCTGAAGGTTTTGAAGGTTCCAGAGATGGAACAGAAGGTAATTTACTGTTAATTCGACGAAATTTACATTTTTCATTGGAATTTCTTATCGTGTAACGAAAATTATAGATCTGAACTCGAATTGTTGTATTCATGGCGGATACAAACACCAAAATTTATTGTTTAATTTTCGTCCTCAATAGTTATCGTAGCATTGCAGACTTAGATTCTATCCTTGTAGGTGCATTTGAGCTGATATTGTAGCTATACTTTAGGTCGTTTAGCTTTGAGAGGTCATTTCAACAAGTTTTCTCCAATTACGAAATTCCTGCATTGATTTGCTTTAGCTATTGTCTATTTTTCGCATATACTAGCTCAACTGGCTGACATGAATTTGTTTAATCTCGTTTTGGGAGCTGAACTCTAGATAATTATGATTTGCTTTAGTTATGTCCAGTTCGAGATTTTTTTTAAGCTTAACGAATTCATTTCATTGCTGTTATGTGACAGGTATTGGATGCCACGGACAATGAACCTTGGGGTCCTCATGGCTCTGCTTTGGCAGAGATTGCACAGGCCACTAAAAAATTGTGAGTCTCAACTGCATTACTGTTAAAATCTTTTTTATGGTACAAATTTCCGGAATCTTGAAGGAACATGTACTTATACAGACTTGCTGATTTTTGTTATCTTTTAGTTCGGAATGTCAGATGGTAATGAATGTCTTATGGACAAGACTGAGTGAGACGGGAAAAGACTGGCGCCATGTTTATAAGGTAGAATCAAATATGGTGCTTATAGAGATGCATATATACTAAATTTTGACATCGTTGAGTCATGTGCCTTTCTAACCCTTCCATATCTGAAACCACTTCTGTATCAGGCATTGGCTGTTATAGAATATTTGGTGTCACATGGATCTGAACGTGCTGTTGACGACATTATAGAACATACTTTCCAAATCTCAGTAAGGGCTTTTTTTTTTTTTATATGTTCTGAATCTTTTTTTTTGTGTATATCAAGTTGAGAATAAGGTTGAATATGCTCAAATATTCTATTTCTCCTTTGGTTTTCTTTCTGTTGAAGTCACTCTCAAGCTTTGAATATGTTGAGCCAAGTGGGAAAGATAATGGTATAAATGTGAGGAAGAAGGCGGAAACCATAGTGGCCCTTCTGAATAATAAAGATAAAATACAAGAAGTTAGAAACAAAGCTGCTGCAAATCGTGACAAGTAAGCTTATTTTCAGTCGACTAGCTTTTCAAGTTTACTTCAACTTCTCTGAACTCTTTTGATTAGATTTCATCTTATAAACTATTCGCACGTTGCCAACTTTAGGTACTTTGGACTTTCATCTACTGGGATAACATATAAGTCAGGTTCAGCGACTTCATCCTCGTATGGTAATAGCAGCTATCAGAGTAGCGACCGATATGGAGGTCTAGGTGGTACAGGAACTGGTGATAGTTTCAGGGATAGCTACAAAGACAGACATGAAGAAGATAAGACTGAGAAGTTCAGCACTGGCAGATCACGCCGTGGAGTTACAAGTGAGAACCGAGAGAGCTCTTCAAAGAAGGGCTCAACAAGAAGCAGGTATTTGATTTTTACATTTCGCGAGAGGTTGCAACCTTAAAAAGGTTCTTCTGAGACGCAGAACTGCAATGCGTTGGAGTATTGGTGGTTTCTATCAGTAATAGCTAATTTTGTCTGCAGCTCTCTTTCTCACAGATGTACATGCACGCACACACATCCTGCCCTCTGCACACAGAGATACTGAATCCTGTACATATTGTCCTAATAATTTTTCTTCTGTGTGATCGTGTCTGGATTAATTTTAAAATGCTTATCTTGCAGGAAGGGTCAGGATGATATATCATCTACTGTGTCAAAGTCATCAAACAAATCAAATGAAGCTGATGCATACAGTTCAATTCATTCTCAAAGCGCAAGTATTCCTGATGATGATGATGATGATTTTGATCCACGAGGGACTTCTACTACTAGTAAGTACATATGAACTCTGATGCAATTGGCAGTTTAATGCAAAACTAAAAGGAAGCCTTGTGGGGAAGACATTGGCAAATGGTGTTTAGCTGCAATCAATTCCATGCCATTTGGCCTTTCAAGATTGTCTGATTTGTTAAACACAGTGATCTTTTGAAGGCTGCTTGTGCCATGGAACACAGTACATCTTTTGTTGAGTTCTACGTTATTTGTTCAAACATATACGCTTTATATGAATATCACTCTACTATTGGTTGATGAAGTTTCCTGCTTTTTCTTCTTTCATATTCATTATGCAATACATTTAATAGAATAAGTATGTAGTGTGTGTTTTTTTTAATAATATGAATGATTTCTTTGATTTAATTTAACATCTCTGTATACTATATTATTTTCAATAGAGGCTGCTGTTGGAAGCTCAAACCAAGTGGATCTGTTTGGACAAAATTTGATGGATGACTTCATAGATGCTCCAGCATCTGTTTCTGAAGAAAAGCCTGGTGTGAACAGCAGTTCAGCGGATGTTGATCTGTTTGCAGATGCAGATTTTGTGTCAGCACCACCCCAGGCAGCAACTGGAGTATTTGCAGACTCGACCTTCGTATCAGCACCACCCAAGGCAGCAACTGGAGTGAGTTCTCAGGTCAGGCATTCCTATGTTTCAATGGTGATGTTTGCGTTAAAATTTCAAACACAGAGAGGGTATAAGTTAAATTGCACCCATCTATATATGCAATTTTTGCAGAAGTTTGCTTAAGCATGTGAAATGTTTTGATTTATGATTTTGTAGTTCTTACAAGGAACTGCTTTTAGGGACTTCCTTTAAGTGTTTTTTAATTCCTCAAATGGGTCTAAATTTCTTTGCTAACAGACTTCTTCTGCAACTAATTTATACAGAATGGCGTTGATCTATTTGCTTCTCAACCAGTCATTTCTCCACCGGCCTCTTCAACCGTTGATCTTTTTGCCACCCCTGATCCAGTTATCCAGCCAGAAACCAAGTCTACAAATGCTGCACCAACAAACACCAACATTGTTGATCCCTTTGCCACTGTTCCTCTTAACAATTTTGATGGATCTGATATAATGGGGGCATTCGCCTCACATTCTGATTCAGCAGCTTCAGAACCCTCCCAAAGTTCTGTCAATGATGGCAGCCACGATAATTTGGGGAAACAATCTTTAGCAGATTCGAAGACTCCACCCAAGAAGGATTTCCAAGTGAAATCTGGCATTTGGGCCGATTCACTTAGCCGTGGACTGATTGATCTAAATATATCTGCTCGTAAGTATATCCGTGTCAACTAGCATACTTCCTTCCATAGCATAATTTATTGGTTTGCACATGAAATAAAATTTGCTTAATGTTCAAGGTGTGAGTTGAGAATTAAGATTCAGAAAAATTGCCGTTGTGGTTTATCTAAAAATGTGATAAATGTCTGGATCGTGTTAGGATTAAGGTTTTCTGTAATCATCATACATAACCAGGGATTATTGATTTGAGTCTTTCATTTTCGGTTAGTGGATTGGCTGGGTAAACGTTTGGAGTGGGTTTCTCATTGAAGTGACGAGTTTATATCTTTATTAGTGCTTGCTTAGGAAAATGCCTGTTGTGTTTCATAAGTATAATGTATAATAATTTGGGAGAGTGGTGCACATCTCTGGTTCCTTAGTAATTGTGTGCGCAAGTTTTGCGTTTCTGCACATCAATTACATGTTTAGGTTGGTTTTTTGGTAATTGCCTATTCACTTCATGTACTTGCAGCCAAGAAGGTGAATCTGGCGGATGTGGGGATCGTGGGTGGCTTAACCGATGGAACAGACGAAAGGGAGAAAGGGCCCCCAACATCGTACTACATGGGAAGAGCAATGGGTTCGGGGACAGGTCTTGGGAAATCAGGGTTCCCCTCTTCGCAAGGAATAGGTGACGACCTCTTCTCAAGTCTCAGCGGCGGCAACCAGCAATACCAGTACGGTGGATTCCAAAAGTAATTTTGTTATTTTCCACCATTTTTCGTGTCTGCATATTCTTTAAATCCTGCTCGGCCAAAATATTGGAAGTCGTGTGTTTTGGTGTGCTTGTTTTGTTCGTAATCATCAGTGGGAATATTGAGGAATGCATTGATCCTGAGTCGAGATGGTTTCGACGCTTTTTAATATAAATTCCGGTAGATGCTCGCCCTTGATCTCGAGCCTATGTTTAAGTGTAGTTAAACGTATAAGGAATCGAGTTGGTCACAATTTTTTAGTGGTTCCTAATCTTCCATTTTTCAAGAACACACTTCTCTTCCTCCAATCAATCTTCTGTTCGGCCCTGGCATGCCGAACTCCATTGTAATCTTCTGCTGCGCCTCCTTCCTTGCTGGATTGCGCACTCTCTTATCAATGACAAATTTATTACGAATGATCAAAATGATTTACCGTGGATAAACTCAGAGACCACTTCTATAACTAATGCGAGGAGTTATGACAACCTTATGGACTATTTTAACTAGAAAGCCTGCTTTTAAAACAGAAAAGATAAAATTAAAAAAAAATTAAAAAAAAAAAGGAGTCCGAATTATTAGATAATTTTTATTTTTATTTTATATAAAGGGTTGAAGAGGACATCATCATACAAGTTTTTTTGTTTTGTTTCTTTTTTGTTGTTTCTAGTTAGTACTGCACGTCCATCATCCTCCCCCTTACCATGGCTTCTGCTTTCCTCACCTGCGTCACTGGTCCTATGATAAACACCTACATTCAGATAAAAACCCCCACAAACTTACGATTAGTTCTATGCGAATACTTCGAAAAAACTGTTATGTAGATTCGATGGACTGGATTGACCTTATGCGGCGGACCCTTATTGCCTCCCATGAAAATTTCCGCACTGTAATATCCATAATAGTAAAATAATAATTAGGCGGCGATAGAGAGAACAGCGGAAAACAGATGGAGGTACACAGAGGAAGTGGGAGAATTGTACTTGCAAGACCCTTTTATTGCCAAGATGGAAGCTCCTCTTCTCCCGATAACACGGCCCATCTTTCCCAGAGGAACATCAAGGACCGAAAGGATTTCTTCCTCCGGAGCATTACCCTCCACTTTTAGGTTATCTGCTAGGAGAAATAACATCCGATTTAGCATCCAATTAAATTACACTGTGTACACAAACTATGGCGGATTCTTATCTGTCAAAAATTAACATTACGAACACTGATTGATGGATGACATGCACATAAACTTTAGTGGCAGAATTAATTGGATTTGAATAATGCAATACATAATAGCTTTAAGCCTTTAAGCTTGTATATGATTCAGCTTCTGAGAACCTAGGTTATATGCATGCAGAATATTTCATCTCATTTTGAAGTCTAAAGTATTACTTGTGTGGCACACATATTGAAAAAGATTCAAGACCTGGAATAGGGGGTAGAGATGGCCAGTCTGCAAAATTATTATTGCTGATGCAAAAACAGCGGCAATAGAGCGCACCACGAACTGCAAGATACCATAATGACTGTTGATTCAATTTCTCCATCATCTTGTAATAGATATGCAGAAGAAAGCGGACATCATCTGCAGCTGCACGGATCATCTGTTCAGATAAAGGTCTGTATGTCCAAAAGTTGGGATCCTGTACATATATTAAATACATGTCATTGACAGAAGACCCTAGTTCAAAATGATGTAATATGACTATAAGATAGTTGTAATGTGTATACGATTCTACATCAAACTATGCAAATTTAAGTTATGGTCAATGCTCTGTTGTTGATAATCTAAGTGCAAACCAATTCATTCGAAACCTTTTTCATGAGGCTGTAATCTCATTTTCCCCGTCTACCATCACACCGACTTAACCTTCAATGTATTTTATATGGAAAACCAAGATAGGGAGAAAAAGATAATAAATGAAATCCAGAACAATTGTTATGATGTTGAAACTAACCTGCCTAAGGAGGAAACGAACTTTTTCCTTCTCAAGATAAGATATTCCTGCAATCAGACTCTTAAAGTGAAAACTGAAGCCATCGTGTGAAGATCAAAACCTAAGAATCCAATTCATCATGTCCCCATGTCTAATTTTGTCATCCCGAAAGCTTTTGAATGTAATCAGATAACATGACATACTTGGGTGCAGTACTTGATGAATGAACTTCCAAACAAATTATTCTTATGATTAATTTGAAACTCTTAGAAAACAAAAGCATAAGCTATTTTCATCAAATCAATGTAATCTGAAGGCATATGGAAATATGATAAAAAACAGAAACTTCAATGGATACCACAAAATATATAATACCACAATAGCGTGGATCAGCAAGGAGGCCAACGAATGATATATAATCATCTTGCACTCTTTTCCGTCCTTCTTGCTCCTCTATCAGTGAATAGGCAATCTGAACGCAAAAAATTATATTATTTTTCAATCTACCATCATGCCTAACAAACAAATATAGATAGCTAGAGAGATCCAATTAAGAATCATATCGATCATTAGATTGGACCAAAGATAAACCATATGTTTATAAAAGTTAAAGGTTGACTAGGCACAGGAGTAGGAGTCGATGAAGCACTACTATCAGGCCAACCTTCAATAAAAGTGGTTTCGAAGTATTATCAAGGCCACAGAAGCAAGCCACATATCAGAAAATGTTAAATTCAAACGAGAACATAGAGAATGTAGAGATGTATTTGTAAGTGATGTCAGCGCCATTCTAAGCCAGCCCACTATGGACAGGTCCTCAAACTCAAAATTTCAATTTAGTCCCCGTAGATTAAACTTCTCTCCGTCTAAGGACGGACAAGGATTCTTTTTATGTTAGATTTCAAATCGAAAAATACGTAGAAATTTCTGACAAGTGATAAAGGATGCTCACCTGGGTATCTACAACATTGTTCAGCTTGATGCCAAACTGAAAGTACAAGGCCTGTAAAAATAAAACAAAATTCAATATCGGCAATAAAATGTCTTGTTACAAAAAGGTACAAGCTGGGATGCAAATAAAACCGATCAGAGACCTCACTATCTCGTTTGCAGTCATGAATGACTTTAGTGATGTAGGGAGACTCAAGTGCAGGCTTACAGGCATTGATAAGCATCACCCCTCCCCGAATAGCATCAACCAGATATATAGCATTTGGGAATGCAAGCTGGCAGAAACAAACACTTCCAGTACATTAAAATAGCAGAAAATTACACACAAGAGATTGCCTTCATTATATACTTCTGATAAACAAAAAATACATGCAAATCCAAGAAATCTAATCAGAAAGCAAAAGGACAACCAATTTGGGAAGCAATGAACTGTTTCTCTTAGTTTTTTTATTTACTTACTTTTTTGAAGTAGGCTATTAGCAAAAAAGCTTAAAAGCGCTTCGTAGTCATATAAGCATATTCTGGAGAAGCACGTGCTACGTGCTTTTCCAGATAACTTCCAATTGTTTTTTTTTTCAGCAAGAATTTGGAATTTTAATAAAATTTCAACTTGCTTCTAATGAAAGCACTTCAAGTGTAAACGTATAGAAGCAAAAGTGGTTCCTACAGAAGCATTTCCAAACGGGCCATATATGCCTTGCTTGGATTAGACAAACAACTAATAAATGAGGTTGGTTGGACCCAAAGTCAAAGCTGATACAAAATCCATAAAATTACAGAGAATATATCAATTTGACATACCTGCATAATACAGAGAGTTCCATGGCGACAGAGGTCAACTCCCTCGCAATCGAAACCAATGATCAATGGCCTTTCAGCTGATGGCTCCAAGAACTCAGCAGGCAGCTGAGATGCATGAGTAACTATATCAATAGGAGCCATTGGCAACTGGGTTTCATGATTTAGGGGGTTTTCACCTGCAGTGCACCCAAAAAACAGCTGACTTTCACATGAAATTAAACAAAAAGAAATCAAATTTAGTTCAGATTCATAAAACCCACTTCACAAATATTTGGGGCAACACAGATATTGAAGATAATCATCCAAAGATTCAACATGTTGCATATATTTTTGCTTTCCCGCATTTTCCCAGCAAACAAACAGACCAAAATCGAAAAAAAAAGAAAAGAAAACATAAATTAAAGGTGCACGAAACTTGTAATAAAAATTGAAAATTGGGAATTGGGGAAATTGGATTGGATTCGACTGGAGAAGACTGACCTGGGTCAGGCGAGAGAGGAAGGTGAGTCTCAAGGGGAGGAGGTAAAGAGGCCATGCGATCGGACCATCCACGCAATCTTTAATTTTACCTCCGAAACCAGCTAACCCTGATTCTCTCCCACTTCACCAAATTATATTACGCCCCCAATTTCATTATGTTTTACGCTTTTCTTCGGCGGCAGTGGAAAGGCGACAACCCGTTGGGTAATCCGACCCGTTCTCTTTCGATGAATAAAGTCCCTTTAAGATATCCCTAATAATTGGGTTAAAATCTAAAAAATTTAACGTAACACAATCATTTTTTAATGGTTGGCCTAAAATATATTTAGGTTAAAACATATAATGAGCAAATTTAACTCAGAATTTCATCAGAGTTAAAAGGCTAGACCACCTTATGTGTGTGGATGCGCATAGAAAAGTGGAGACCGTAGTAAGGCGACACATCAACATGTGAGAAGCGCAAGGGCTGACAGGATGTGAGATTCGTCAAGAATGTCGGCCACACAAAACGAGCCCAACGACACTTTTTTTTAGATGGTTTTAATTATTAAATTGTTGGTTGATCTAACGGTCCAATTTCAAACACATTTAATTTTAAAATTTTAAATACATTAAATTCAATGAATGAGATCGAATATAATCAAATATAATAGTAAAAAAAAATTAATGTTTCAAAATTAAATTCAACAACTAAAAGTAAAATAATAAAAAATATTTAAATCAAAAGGTCACCCATAAACTTTATAACTATATGTTTCATGGGATTGGTTTAGTGAGCTTTTAACTTTTATTTGAATCTAAATATTTTTAGATTAAAATGTTCAAAAAATTAAATTATGATAATCTACATATATATTTTTTAAGTTATTGAAAACAAATTTTGACACACCCCAACCGAGATCAGGGCATGCTGGCCGTCACGTGGAAGTGACGTAGCCATGTGCACAGTGCGGAAGCTAAAAACAGTAATGTAAAAGTACGAATAATTTAAAACTAGCAAATATAATGTGATAAAGTATGTGCTAGCAAAAGTAAGACGCTGAATTCAGAGCTTTAAGCCTACAGCAGTCCAAAAGAAACGATACAACAATAGTGCACCCGAAGGTGACCCTACGTAGGTGAGTGTCTATCAGAATGCCGGGACGTCCTCCGGGAAAACCACCAAACCCGCTAAGCTACTAGAACCTGGAGGGGCGCAAAACAAAAGCGTGAGTGGGCAAAAACAAATTCTTTGAAAACCAATTCATAAAATACATTCTAACCCCTCGCCGTAAAACCTGTATATTTCCCAGAAAATAAACACATATACGTAGATATGCCAAGTCATGCTCAAGGGTATGCCATCACAAAACCTCATAATATCATGCATGTGCTCAGGTATAAATTACATCAATAGCATAATAAACTGGCAGCCGGAGTCCCCTAAGTGACCTGTACGGCTGATCTAGAGCTCAAATCTCTACTAAATCACTAAACCTGCCCACGAGTCGGAACCACCTATAGTGGTCTGTACGACAGGCCTGGGTGTAATACATATGAACGCTCTAGTGCTACGATCACGTGAAGGCTGTGCGAATAATCGCGGGTCACCTACGAGTCGGAACCACCGATAGTGGTCTGTACGACAGGACTGTGCACCTAACTTGGATTCAAGCTGAGCGTGTGGTGCGGGAGGTGAACAACACGTGAAGGACTGTGCCCTACTCTGGGCAGGAGCACTAACACCGGGGATGCAGGTTATGAGCTCTCTAAGCATCTCTAACCAATATTTAATGCAATCGTTAAATAACGCTTACCTGGCACTTACCTATGCCTCCACAGCACCAACAAATATATATATGACATATGCATAATCGAATATATAATTAAACGTATATGCCACTAATCATGCATAACCATCAATCATATAAAAAGAATGGCATAAAACGAAGCATTTATACTAATTTCTGGGAAATAATATGTATATAGGTATATACGGAAAACCAAAAGCCCACTCACTGGTATGTGGAAGGGTCGTAGCCCCCCTGCCTCGAGTGTGCACGCTCGTCCTCAGGAAACGTGTCACCTATATGCGAATTAACTATAAAAACGTTAACTTTAAAGCACATAACCGTCCGTTCAAAATAACTTCTCATACATTGCTCAAAATGGACAAATGAATATACCAACGTGATCTACACAACCTCACGATCACACCTATATTTTTAAAATAATTTTTGAACCTCCCACGCGCCCTCACGCGCCAAAACAGGCACGGACCCACGCGCCCCCACGCGCGGCCACGTGCCAGGCACACTGACAGCGTCAAGTGACGCCGTCAGGAATATTCCGTTGAACTGACGGAATATTCCGTTAACCCTTAAACTGATGCCGTCAACGTCCGTTAGGAATATTCCGTTAAACTCAACGAAATATTCCCCTTTCTTCTCAGGCCAGTCTCCCTCGCCGGCGCCGTCGCCGGAAAACCTGCAACTCGCCATAACTCGCTCGTTTTTCCACCTTTTTCCACGTTTCTTGCACCAAAATCAACCTTAGAGCTAGTAGAACACGATCCTACAAGTTTTAAGGCCTAAAACTACAAGATTATACCTGTCCAAAACTCCAAAACTCGGCCAACTTCGAACCAAGCTTTCCCGACGTCCAAATTTGTCCAATGAAGCACTCCCAAGCTCCTGGGAACCTCACAAACACAACTATAAGCTTCAAATGTCCAAAAACTCACTAAATTAATCTTGCATGAACAGTAGCTAAAACGGACATGGCGATTTCGACGTGAAAACGTCGAAGTTCTTACCTGAAAATGGCACCACTGGACTCCTCTCAGCCTCACAAGCACGATGGTGGTCTTGGATCCCTCGATCTGTGATGTTTTAGGGTAGTTGTGTGTGTGTCCGTACACTTTCAGAAGGAAGAGGAAGGATAGAGACTCGGGAGAGAGAGAGAGAGAGGGACAGGGAAAGAGATTGAGAAAGGGATAGGGACAAGGTGTGTGTGTGTGTGTGGTCCAACTCTGGCCAACACCACACAAAACAACCAAAACATAACAAAAACAAACTAGGGGTAAAATGGTAATTTCACACGTACGTTTCAATAATTCCGGGACGGGATGTCACAAATTTAGCCTACATTCATTATTTAATAATCTCGGACTAAATCTTTTATATATTATAAAAATACACTAAAACTCGTATGTTCTTTCGGATTTTACTTGAAATAAATGTAATCAAGGTGGCAACTATCCAGGTCATTTTCGATTATGATGAGTTTGATATAAATTTATTCTTCTACTGTATATTCAAAGTATATTAAAAGGTTATTTTTTATTTTTTGGCAAAATATTAAAAGGTTATGCTTTTTTATTCTTTTGAGATTTAAAGACAATTAATATGAAACAAAGCAATTCACATTCTACTTTATAAGTGATAGATTGCCATGGTGTTCAACGCCGCCTTCTTCAACTTTTCGAATCCTCCCATCTCCCCTTAAATATAGAACATCATTTGCAATAAAAAATTATATAAAAAAATCCATATTATACTTAAACCAGACAGAATTGTTTAATTACAAATTTTAACATAAATTAAGGACGGTGTATTCAATTGAGATTTTGAAAGATTTTAATTCTTTTAATGAATCTAGGGATATTCAATCAAGATTTTAAGTGATTATCTGAATATAATATGTATTCAATCATGATTTTAAGATAGTTTATTAAAATCTTTATAAATTTGGGTTTATTCAATTAGATTTTTAAAGAAATTTAAAACATTCCAGATGTTTTTAATTATAATTTAATTTTAAAGAATTTCAAAAAGTTGAGGAATTAGAGGGAATTAGAGAGATTTTGTAATGTATTTTAAGCATCTACAAATCTAATAAGATTTTGAGAAAATTGAATCAAAATTTTACATAGAATCTCTATAAATCAATTAAACTTCATAAAATTCTATTAAAATCTCTCTAATTCCCAATTGCATACAAGCCTCCAAATACAAGTTATCATTCATATGATTCTAATTTTATAGACCGGATAGACCGGCCTAAAAAATGCTGCGTCTACCTCATCTCTTCAGTTACTCTTTGTTTGACCATGTACAAATAATATATGAACAAGTAGGTCTCTCCCAACCTACAAATTCAACTTTCCAAAAATATTTGAAAACTTTGAGTTTTAACGATAAGAACAAAATAAATAGTAAAGTGAATAGTATTAAAATTGATTTTTTTAATGTAAAAATATAATTTTTTGTTAAAATAAACAGTACCGAAAGTTTTTCGTTAAAATTCTAATTATTATTTTTTTTGGTCCAAAATTATGGTGACGTATATGATTTTGTGTTGTGACGATCCTTTGTCCACTACTCCTCTCCATGTTATCTGAGAAAGTTGGGTGTAAGTGGGACATGACAACAGCAGATTTTACCCGTATCTTACTTTTGTGTGTTGCTTCTCAAGCTGTCCACCATTTAGGAAAATTTAGGAAAAGGATAATCTCCGGATTTTTTTATTAAATTTATCCAATTATCCAATTTAGATTTTTAAAATTTGATTAAACGGTTAAAATTATTATAACTTCTAAAGGGCTTCTTATTTATAACCGTTGAATCAAATTTTAAAGATCTTAATTGATTGATTGAGTAGATTTGATGGAAGAGATCCAGAGAAAATCTCTTTCCCACCATTTAGATCCCCCACTACATAAATTGTACACGTGGCAGCTACACGTCGGATCAAAAAGTGCAAACTTTGACTCGCATCTCTATTTTACCTCAAGCTTTCCCGCTTTTTAATATCATCACAAGTTGACTGAATTTATTTTTATTTTTTAACGAACGATATTATATACATTGAAAAAAAAGGAGTAAGTTTAGCCTCACATTGCAGCAATAATATGATTCAAATTCACATTTTGCGAAAATCAAATCTATCACTTATAAGCAAAAAGGAATACCATTAAATACTAAGTGTCTGCTGAATCACTTTTAAAATGACAAAATAATTTTTACTAATTAAAAATCGAAAAGTGTTTTAGTGGTTTATAGCACTCAGTGATTAATTTTAATTATTTTTTAAACTTGGACCGTTTCTATCGAAGTAACTTACAGCAAAAGTTATTCTGTTTAGTGGGTCTCCGACTTCAATTCTCGATCCTATAATATGACTTGTACAAGAAAAAAGTGTGAATTAACAAGTTGTTGAAACAAATCGAGTTTTTAAATCTATATTTATGAAAAAATTGTAGCTTAAATAGTTTATAATTTTTAATTTTTTTGTTAAGTCTTATGATCTAGTTTCTCGTCTCTCTATTTCGCCTTCTCTAATATAGCTTTGTTTATAACGAAATAGATGGATAATGATGAAAAATAGAATAAATTGATCTCAAGTTAAATAGGCTTTCATTGTCTTTGTAAACTCCAATTAAGTTTGGATAAAGTAGTTTTTTTTTTTTTTTTTTGAAAAATCGATATTATCTATATTAACGGGAGAGAGTGAGCTTAGCCTCACAATGTGCTGGCAATAATGTGGTTCAAATTCTTCTTTGGCGAAAATCGAACCTAATATCTCTCACTTACTAATAAAGAGGAATGTCATTCAATCGTAATACTAAATGGCTGTTTGAATAAAGTAATTAAATTCATATAAAAATATATTGTCTCCCACGCAAAGCAGCAGGTCTTTGGGAAGAAAAATAAAATAAATTACCAAAAGCCAAATGCAATATAGTAATAAAAAGTGGAGGTTCTTCCTTCTAGCAATCTCGTTCTATCCAAACCAGGGCCCAACAAACCCCGCACTTTTTCACTTTCCCCTTTCATCATCTCTCTCTCATTTGAGGAATCCCTAAATTAAGCTTTGCCCTCTCTCTCCTCTCTCTTTCTCTCTCCTCTCTCAGCCCTCGAACCCCAATCTGTTTCTTGGCTCTGCTTTTACTCCTATCCCTTCTTTCCCACAATTCACGCTCTGAGTTCGTTCCTCCATCAGTTTTCACTCCCCAAGTCCTTTTTTTTCCTCTTCTGGGATAATCGAGAAATCTCTCATTTTTTTTCAACCTTTTCTGTGAATTTTGACATCTGGGTTCTGCCTGATTTCGAGCTTCCCTTTCTGGGTTGTTATCAACTAACTGTTTCAGCTTTTGGAAAGCCTGGTTTCTGCTTCTGGGTTCTCTGGAATTTGATCTGTTTTAAGAAAGGTGAAGGCGTTTCAGCTATTTACCTGTAGATTTTTTCAGATCCTTTAACAAAGGAGCTTTTTTTTCGAGTAATTTTCAAGTGGGTTTTCGAAACTGAATGTAAAAATCGGTTTTTCGCACTTGGGTTTGGAGTGTTGGTGTTGAAAATGAGGAGGGGGAACGAGGAGAAGGTTATGGGACCTATGTTCCCAAGGCTCCATGTGAATGATGCAGATAAAGGAGGGCCGAGAGCTCCTCCAAGAAACAAGATGGCCCTCTATGAGCAGCTGAGCATCCCATCTCAGAGGTTCAATCCTGGGGTGCTGCCTTTGAATTCAAATAACCAGGTAATTTAATCATAATTTGTGCTTACTCTTTTCTTAATTATTTGTTTGGATTATTTTGAAATGTTATTGCTTTAAACTTGTAGTTAGGTAATGGATTTTCTCAGGCTTTTTGGTTTTTTGTTTTTGTAGTAGTTAACTGTAAGTGTTGTTTTATGCTATATTGAGTAATGTTGCATATGACTATGTCTATATGTTGTGTTTTAATGGCTATTAATTGTAAAAAAAGAAGTTAAAATATGCCAAGATAGCTACTATTTGCAGCATGCTGCAATTAAGAGGGAAAAAACAACGGTGTGTTGATAAATAGTGTTGCAAGCTTGTTTAGTATGGACGGAAAATGATTATCGCATATCTGAATTTTGGGAGCAATTTATGTTTTCAGGGGAGTCGTTCAGATGGAAATTTGGCTTTTCCACTTCGTGGTCGTACATCTACACCTACTCATCAGGCTGTGATGTTTCATGGTCGCCAGTCTGACAGAGCAAATGTAAACGTGCCATTTGAACACACCGACCTAAGAAGGAAGATCGGAGATGAAGATGATTTTAGTGTTCCTGTATTTGTTCAATCAAGGATGGGTCTTGGTCACAGTAAAACTCCAATTGGTAGTGAGGAAAAACTTACTTCCATCAGCTCGCCTCATTCTGACCATTTAGTAAAAGTAAGAAACGTGGGGAAGAAGGATCCAAAACAAATAAGCTCCCCAACTCTGAATTTAACACGAGAATTGAGAAGTGAAAGAGAAGAGGACCTAATAGAAGTAAGCGGTTCGAGTAAGGGCCATTCAGGAAAATTTGCCGCAAAAATATCAACCATACAAAAGATTGATGGGCCCGTAGAAGCGAATGCATCACCAAATCAAGAGGATGCAGAATGTTCTGTTCCGAGATTCAACAGGTTAGCTGAGAGTGATGCTTGCTTACAACAAGAGTCTAGATCTGGGTCACAGCCAAACGTTACTGGACAAGGTGATGGTCTTGTTGAGTCTTCAAGGGATGTAGAGAAGGGAACTCTTTCCCAGGAAAAAAGTGTTTCTTGTTCTGGGGCGGATCCTACCAGTCCCAATGAGCCCTGATAATGACAGCGAATACCGTGGAGACAGAAAGTGTATTTCACTTCAAATGGGACATGTAGACAAAAGTGATGATGTCTCAGAGACCTCCATGGTGGATTCTATATCCGGCATGGACATCTCTCCTGATGATGTTGTAGGAATAATAGGCCAGAAACATTTCTGGAAGGCAAGAAAAGCAATTGTCAAGTAAGTCTCTATTTTCTCCAGTAGTTCATTTCAGTTGTTACTTTGCGCTTTAGAATTTTGAAGTTCACTTTTTTCCCAGTATGCAGTATATGAAGCATTTGGTCTCATAATATCTTCGTGTTGTTGAGTATTTCTTCACTTATGTTTTGTGATTATTTTTTTTCTGTTTCTTTTTTAATTCTTCCGTATAGCTGTCTTAGACTGTTATTTATATAACAATTAGGAATATAGATATAATTTGAAGGGAGGTGAGATTTCATAGTACAGAGTCCCGGGATTCCTTCTAAAGTGGAATTATTTTGTGTTATAAGGCCCTCGATAACATTTTAACAGTGGATATGGATCGTCTTACAGCAGGGATAAATACATCTTAATAGAGTTACCTTGTGCAACGTGACCTCCGAGACGGCATATCATCTCGTAATTCATTGCCTTTTTGTATCTGCCTGTTGGGTTTATTCCTGTCTCGGTTTGGTAATGCTTGGGGGTTTCCCTGTTCACTATCAAAAGATTTCCCTTCATGGCACTTGAGGGCTGGGAGCAAGAAGGGGAACAAGTAATGAAGGATTATCCTTGGGACTACATTGTGTGGATCTTGGACTATATTTGAGAATATAGTTGACATGGTGGTGAGGAGGATTACATCTCTTATGTAGTATTTTGATGTGGTGTATTGGAAGTTGGAAGATTTTATTAGGTCGGGGTTTGTGTTGTCTTTCTTATACGCTTTATAGAATATGAGAGTATCCCCTATATATGGGTTCTTCTAATCATTACTCCTTTTTTATTTTTCATTATGAAATGTGAATCATTTACATGTGAATCAGAAAGCTTTAGTTTGTACATTTCTTTTATGATTTTAATTGAATATTACAAATTTTAAGCTGTTTTTGTGTTAAAGAAAGGAGATTTGCAGACATCTAAATGATTTATGTCGCAGATATTTGCCATGTTTCAGAATCTGTTGTAGCATTTAGCTTTCGTTTTTATTGCTCTGAAGATTTATGTCGCAGATATTTGCTATGTTTTGGATCTGTTGTAGCATTTAGCTATCGTTTTATAGTTTTGAAGTGGTTTTTGTATCCATTATTAATTTTATTGCTCTGAATTACCTCGTTGTGTTAACTGTTTTCTGATGAGCAATTTGCTGCATCCATCCTTAAGCTGTTTCCTTCCCATGTTTGGTAAATGTCATATTTGTCTACAATCCTGATCAATATCACGCCTAAGCAGATATTTTGTGACTAAAGCACTTAGTCATTTTTCTGTTATCTCTTAAATAACATGAGTTTCTATTTTCTGTTCCGATGCATGTAATCCAATAATCCATAGTGGGGATTTGTTTGGTACAAATGATTGTCAACTGCCCAATTTTTCATTTTTTTGTCCAGTTTATTGTTTTGTTTTCTCGTATTGGTTTTGTTTTTGTGATTTACCAAGCTTCATATGGTTTGGTGTGTATTGTGCAACTATGTTTTTGACATGACTCCTTGTACTTTCTACAGTCAGCAAAGATTGTTTGCGGTTCAAGTATTTGAGTTGCATAGACTCATTAAGGTAAGACTAAATGGATGGATTGTGTTTGATTTCTTTTTGTTGAGAATGTACACACACGCGCGCATATCAGTTGACTTAGATTGGAAAAATTAGCTGAATAAAATTCTTTTTTGAACAGGTCCAACGACTGATTGCTGGATCTCCACATCTTTTGCTTGAAGATACTGCTTTTCTGGGCACATCTACTTTAAGGGGATCCCCGGCAACAAAACTCTCATCAGAGTATGTTGTAAAGCCACTACTACATGTTGTAAAGCGCAAACACGAACCTGAGAAGCCAAACAACAAAATGGAATGTTCTGCGGAAAATGCAGTAGGGAAAAGGCAGTCCTTGGTGTTTCCATATTTAGGAAATCCACAGCCAACTCCTATGGCTTCTGATAAAGCCAGTCCTTGGTGTTTCCATCAGTCTCCTGGACATCAACTGTTAATTCCAGTAATGTCGCCTTCTGAAGGACTTGTGTACAAGCCGTATAATGGACCAGGATTTATGGGAGGGCCAGTTTGTGGAGGATGTGGACCTACGGCTCAACTCCGATGATGGGCAACTTTGTTAAGCCATCTTACGGGGTTCCATCTCATCATCTTCAAGGAATGGGGGTTCTTCCTGTCCCTCCATCACTCAATGGTCATACTTACTTTCCTCCATATGGCATGTCCGTTATGAATCCTGCCATGCCGAGCTCAGCAGTTGAACAAATGCATTGGTTTGCTGGACCCGTTTCACATGGTCACACCGATCAGTCATCGGGAGGGGATGCAAACTCCAATTTGCAGCACCAAAGCTCATGCAACATGCCCCAGAAAAATGTCACCATTCCTAACGCCAAAAGGCTTCAGCCATCTAATGACAGTGGGTTGCAAGGAAGTACAGCAAATAATACAGGCGACAGAGCACCAATGAGGACGGATCAAAATCCTGAAGGAAGCGATGCGCTCCAACTTTTCCCCATGGCTCCAGTGATTCCAGACGGAGTTCCCCAATCTCACGACATAGGCCAGCCAATGCGAGCTATAAAAGTTGTGCCTCACAATCCAAGAACTGCAACTGCGTCGGCCTGCTCGAATTTTCCAGTCCATACAAGCAGAGAGAAAACAGCAGGATTCAACCTAGCTAATTTTCTCGAAGTTGGCGTGGCTCGGTCACTTCCTCCATGTACCATTTTCAGTATAATATTGTGTAACAGGTATTTTCTTTCGCATGTCTCGGTCTTGTGAATGTGTACATTCATATGTATATCGTATATATACCTCTGGAAAACTCACAAGCAGAGCAGTGTAATGTGAACATGCGAGATGTTTTCTCTTGTATTATGTTATAGTGGGGATATAATGTAAGTAGCAATGGCATTGCTATTTTCGGGTAGAACCGTAGAAGGTGTAATTGCCCATTTTTGAGTATCTGATTGTTGTTAACTAGAAGATAGTCAGAGCTGGAAATATCTTCCCTTAAATTATACCGTATTTTTGCTATTCTCCGGATACGATATTTCGATCACGTTATTGACATGGTTGATTATCTTAAGAGTATTAAATCATCATTTAGAGCGTCGATTCTAGGTTTTTGAATCGCACTCTGGTTACTTAAAACCTAAAATTTAAGCTGTTCGACACGTCCGCCTTGTAAGAAAGAACAGATGTTATGTGGAGAGGGCTCTAAGAACCTTGTAGCACGATAAAATCGTGCTCGCCAAACACGGTTTCAAACTTATTGTCCGCCAAATAAAAATGGTTGATTTTCTAAAATAGTAATCGTGCATTTTTTCATCTTTTATTTTCTTTTTTCACTGAGAGATGATATGTAATAACCTTCTTAGATGGATCACATTTATAAGTATTCTTCCCTCGCACTAAAAAGGTACTTCTGAATCTCCGATCACATTACAAATCAACTGGAGTAAAACAAAATTGGACTTTATTTCAAAAACAAAGGAGATTAAGCACCCATAATCTGAGGATTTAGAGTAATTAGTTACAATCAGGAGGATTTAAGCCCGGGCCGCCGAAGTAAAACACAGGTTCTTCAGCAAGTGAAGCGGCATAGTTCAATGCAGTGTAGCAATACTCTTCGTCTGTATAAGTCCCTACCCACTCAGGATACTTGAGCTGCATCGAGTAATCTATGATCCTAACCTGCTTAATATAACATGCATTCCCCAGTTTGCCCCATGCAAAATCACCACTTCCCATTTCAGTTGCAGTGTGTGGATGGTTTTTCTTAATTTTGGAGCTGTACACCTCCCCACCCCATTCGACTAAAGCTGCAACACCCTTTGTTAGGTAAAAGAAGAGCTCTGGGGGAAAGTATCCGACGGGGATGTTTTGGCCGACGCGCACCCACCAGTTGTTGGTGTGAAAGTCCTACAGCAGGAATAGAACGGGTTATAAACTTTTAATAAAAAACAATACTTTAACAGACTAAAGGGAGACAAAATCGGCTTATTGTTTGTTCAGCGTAATCCAGTTGATATTTCAGACCTTGCTGATGCTGAAGGTGGCCTGATATTGTGGACCCATTTCAGAAGAAACAGGTCCAAGGGCCATGCCAAGGGCTAGGTCTTTGTTGGTGTGCACAAATCCTGAGCAAGTGAGATCAAAGCAACCTGTCGATTTGTATGCGTCCTTCTGATCAAAAATGAAAAAAAGGGTTTTTATTGGAGAAGTTCACCGAGGTTTCCCAACTTATCACTTTGTCCCTCGCATTTTAATCAAAAGATATGGAAGCTGGTACCAATGACATTTTCCTGACTGATCATATTTGTAATGAAGTACTTACAGTCCAATATACAAAAAGTCGACTTGCTTCATCACCATACAACTTCGGATTTACCTAGAAGCGAAAAAGGAAGGTTCATGTATACGTGTCAAAGTGTGATTTTATAGATCTAAAGTCGATTTTTTTTTCATCTGCAGTCTACAGATGAAGAGTCCAGAGTGAGTTACCACCCAGCCTGATTCGACGCTTTCAAAGGCGTCTCCGGGTCCATTCTTGAGCCAGATTTGAGCAGTAGTGAACTCATCTGGCGATTGGACTCTTGGATTCCAAATATTTATATCCCCATGAGCACCTGTATAACTATATCCAACTGTTATAAGGATAGCAGCCTGCACGTTCACATAAAATTTAACCATTAATTGCACAAGACACATTTACAAACTAAAAACTGAAATAGTTATAGAATGATTCCTAAACATAACGTTTGCTTGCTGAGCGATTGATTTGAGGACCGAGTTCGACTCTGGTGCCGTTGATGATTACAGCGCCTTTCTCATCGTTGGTTGAGTAGTAGGAATTTGCCGGTTTCTTCCCAAAGTGTTCAAGTGAAGCAGCTCTCAGTAAGTCCTGCCTTCGAATTCTCCGAATGGGAATTGTTCCATCTGGACAGCTTCCACTCTTCTGCCAAATCTGAGACAAAATCTGCTGAGAAGAATTATGATCATTTTGTACAGGACTACTTGCACTAGGACTGGGACTGGGACTGGGACTAGAACTAGGAGCCTCCGATGTGAATTGAAGATTCGGTGTCATCTGCAATAAATCATTAACCTCATTAACCTTCCAACTGTAAAATGTTTCATTTAGATGTAACCAACCATAATGTTTTCCAGTTTTTGTTTCGTACATTCTTCGAACAAATGAAGGATTAAAGTAGACCTGAATTTTGTGGTTCCGCAATGCTGGATGATCAAACGCAGGCTGTTTGTAGATGTCAACACAATCAACGATATCTCCATCCTCACTCTACAAGAAATCATAAAATCAAAGAGGTAAAGTGAGTTTAGTCTGCAGAAAAGATAATTAAAATGGCGGAAAACCAGACCTTAATAGTCTTAACGCCGGGCTTATTGAGAAGCTTCAACATCTTACGAACTTCCAATTCCAAAGTAGCTTGGTTTGCTTTAGATTTCACATGAGGATGATGATCTGCTGCTCCACCACTGAACGCAAACAATCCCATTGCTAACAAGAGCATTATAATCCTCCTTTTCCCCATCTTCGATCTCTCGGCGTCTCGCTCAATCTTGCAGAGAGAGAGAGAGAGAGAGAGAGGGGAAGAGGAAAGTGTCTGGTTTGAGAGGAGGAAGATAAGAATGCCTTGATTATATACAGTGCATGCATATGCGTCATGGCTTCAGTTTTAGTCCATGTGTCAAACGAACAATTCATGCAGGCTTACACAATGAGCTGGAGGAACTTTGCATGTATGGAAAGGAAAAAGAAAATTTTAATGAAACACTTTCGGTACTGTTCATTTTTTAAAAAACATCACATTTTTACCTTTTTTTAGTACTATTCACTATACCTTTATTTGTCTTTTAGAATTAAAACTAAATTTTTTTTTTGAATTTTTCGTTAATTTTCCTAAGGAAAAAAGGGGTTACTTCTGATTTCTATATTCAGTGAATCAGACTGTTGTGGATGCTATAGAAAAGTGTGCAAATTCAAAAAACATAAAACTTATTTGGAAATCTCAACTATGCCACTTTGGTAAAGATTGAAAATTTAATCTGGTTGGTACCTTCTGAGCAGAAATGGAAGATGTGCCACTCTGGTGGAAATATAAGACGTTAACTAATGAACAATTTTGCAATGGATAATACTTCCATCATTTCCATAACCGTAAATTCTCTTAATCGTCATCTTAAGATAAACTTTACAAAAATTATATGATTGAAAGACTATTTAGTGATCTATAAATATAAACAAATTGACAGTTCATCATGAAGATGTTACATATTGCTAAAACTGTCAATTCGTTCAATACTTATGAATGATTAGAGATGTTCTTTCAATAATGAAATGAACGGTTTGATTTATCCTCATTGTACGTTAGATTGAAGTCACATTAGTGGAAAATAAGAAAAATGTTGTCTCATTTTGAAAGTACAAGTAGTGCTTAAAACGACACAGGCTTAGATATAAGAACAATAGGAATACTAGGTGAATACAAAAGCAAGAGGTATCCCTATTGATTAAGGACACATAGGATTTCTACCAGGCCCTCCGTAATAGAACTCAGGTTCTTCAACATAATCTACTAGATACTTGACATCATAGCAGTTGAACTCGTCCATATACACATCAGCGTATTCCGGCAATTTCAGCTCAGGCGAATTGTCGTGTATTCGGATTCTTTTTACTGAACCTGAAGTCCCCCAAACAAAATCAGCAAACTGTCCACTTCCCATGTCTGTTTCTGTGTGAGGAGTAGTTCCTACTCTTGAGCTGTAGACTTCACCTCCCCACTCCACACTAGTTGCATGATAGCTCAACGCAAGGAACAGCTGCGGCGGCCAATATCCGACGTAAATGCTCTCCCCATATTGCACCCACCAATTGCTTGTCACCGGGTCCTGAATTCGAAGGCAAAACATAAAGGAATTTAATTAATATGTTATGTTGTTAAATTATTAATCTAATACGTTATGTTGTTAAGCTGTTAATGTGATGGTATGCTGTTAAACTGTTCATATTACCTTGAAGACGTAAACGATTATTTCATATGGAAGGTCATGAGGAAAAGATACTGGATAAATTGCTGCACCAAGAGCGACTTTGTTGCTAACTTGAACAAATCCAGGACAAGTAAGATCAAAGCAACCTGTTTTCTTTGAATCATCAGCCTGCAGGGAACATCAGAAGTGCAATTAACCCTAGCCAGTGGAATTAATTCACGCAAAAACTGAGTTGTGAACTTGTGATTCATGTCTGCTTACAGTCCAATACACGAAAAATCGAGTCTCTCTATCTCCGTAGACGCTCGGATTCACCTGAAGAGGGATTCACAACAACGATGTAAAATATTTCAAATCAAGAACATGAAGGTGAAGGGAGTTATGCAGTTATGTTATACCGCCCATCCGGATTCAACCATCTCACGTGAATTTAGGAGGCTAACTTGAGAAGTGCTGTAATCATCATCGAGGTCAACCATAGGGTTATAAACTTTGATGTCTCCTTTGCCTCCAGTATATCTGTACCCTACTGTAAGCAATATTGCCTTCTGTAATTCAAATTAATTAACACAGTCAGAAATTAAAAAGGGTTTGGAATGATTTCGCTAAGGGTATGCCCAAGAGTCACATAAGCGCTTTCTGTAAAAGCATATGTCAAATGCTTCTTCACAAAGCACTTCGATTTCGATAAAAAAAATTCATAAGTGTTTCAGATAGAGAGAATGCTTATGAGCATAAGTGCTTTCAAGAGAAGCAGTCCCAAACCAACGACGTGTAAATTTATAATTAATTTCAACAATGAATTAAAATGTGATACTGAGGAGTTAATGCACCGAGTGGTTTGCTCTTAGAACGTTCCCAGTTTTGTTGTCATCAAAATTTGCAGCTGCAGCATGACGAGACACAGTACTTTGCTTCTTCCTTCCATAGTCCTTAACGGAGCTAGCTCTCAGCAGTTCCTTTTTCCGGACTCGTCGGACCGGGATTGTTCCCGGAGGACAGCTTCCACTTTTCCTCCATTTTTGCTTCACCATCCTGGAAGATTGTTCTTCATTCTTTTTCTTCAATCTGTCCATTTTTGTCACTGTCTTTCTCTCCCTTTCTGGATCATACGTGGGTGCCATCTGAAAAGGGAAAATTATTCACACCACTTGTTATGTTGAAAAATCGAGGACGGTTATCCTACTAACACATACTTAACACGAACACTAGAAAATAGCACCGTAATGGTCCACTGAGTGGTATATTTGGCCTAGTAAATGGTGTAATTACTTTATGAGTCTACTACACCATCTGATGAATCATTTGTAGATGTTCGTACTTAATACACGTTGTCATCCTAAAATATATCGAATTAGATAAAAGTTACCTGGATGGTATGGTTGCTGAGAGCAGGATGATCAAAAGCTGGCTGCTTGTAAATGTCAATGCAATCAATAATATCACCATCTTCACTCTACAAGCAATCAGAGTTAATATATATTAGGGTTTTACTGTGTAAGTGAAATTTATGAAGTGAGTAAATTCATACCTGAATGGTTTTAACTGCAGGCTTTCTGAGTTGGGTTAATTTTCTTTCAGCTTCCAAAATCTTGTGGTTAGAGAACAGATCACCCTCCACAATTACCCCACATCTAATCAGAGTCACAGCCACTCCCAACATAATTACCATCCCCCTTAATCTAATCATCACTTCACCAAAACACAACCCTTTCCCCATTTGTTGTTAATTAACTAAACTAATAATTAATTAATTACTTTGAATATGTAATTAAGATGAGATTAAGATATGAAGAGCCCAGCAGGAGCTGGATCTATTTAAAGGACATTGTCTCTGCAGAATGTGCAGCATGTGATTAAGTAGACATCCAAATCATTTCTGCCAACTACACTTGGGCAAAATAATTTGCATGATTCACCGTTCAATCATGCAAATTTCACTTCTTTTTTATTTTCAATTTTTGGATTGTCACATGTGAGTCACCACATCTTAAAATTTTGAAAAGTTGTCACTTTGTTTCCTCTAGCTCAAAAGTTAAGAGTATTTTTAAATAATTAGTAATATTTTTCTCACGCACGTAAAAAAATATTGTAAAAATTTAACAAAATCATATTAGTAAAAACAATGATTAAGTATCTGAAACTCCTCAACTTTTTAGTGTCATTCTAAATTGCTTTCAACCTTTTGAAACATTTCAAATAAGGGCATCTGCCACGATATTTGTCTATTTGATAATATATGTTGAGGTTCTATGTGATCTGTAGCTGATGATGTGAAGTGGATAGCATTCTTGACCAAACACAGCCGCTATATATATATATATATATATATATATATTTTTTTTTTTTTGGCTCATTTTGGAGTGGTCTTGAATTATAGGGTGGTGTGGGCGGTTGTGTTGGCCTTGGAGGTGATAGCTTGATAGGAGGTTAGGAGGTGGTGACCGTTAGTTAGTGAAGACTAAGTTTTTATAACCTTCTATTGATTTTAGAGATAAAGTAAGTCTTTATTAATTTAACATAAATTTAATTGACGTTTAATGGATGTGACATTTCAATAGATTAAGTATTTGCTTTGAATGTTTACAAAAGTTAAAACCAATTTAAAATAATACTAAAATGTTATGGGATTTTAGGTACTTCATCGTAGAAACAATCTAAGACGTTGTACGCAGCTACAGGGAATTTGATCCGCTCCGGACCTGAGTGTCCAGAGTCTAGGGATCAAATCATCTGGGCCGCTGATTAGTGTGTAAAAAAATCAGAGCTGTTGGTTTTTTATAGTGGGCTAAAAAAATGAGTTAACGAGGATCATTAAATTAAATTTATGCGGTTCAGATGAATTAATTTCTAAGCTCCGAACACTAAAGGTGCGGAGCGGATCCAATTCCCAACTACGGCGTTCTGTCAAGCAAACAGTGGCGCGGTTAAGCTTACGCGTGACCCAAGTCCATTTTAATTACCAATCCTACCACTCAGCGAGTCAGAGTCATTCATATACACAGAGAGTAGAGAGGAAGAGAGAGAGTAGCTTGGGATTTACGTCAAAATCCAAAAATGGTGAAATTCCTGCTTCAGATCACCGCGGAACTCGAGAACCTGACCGACCTCCAGCCTCAGGACGGCTGCGACGACACCAACTTCTCCTACCTCTTCAAGGTCAGACCTCCATTTTCCTCCAATCCATTTCGTTTTGCTATTTCAGTTTGCGTTCTCCTTTTCTAGGGTTTCTGGCATCGAATCCATGTCGATTTTAAGTCGCTAAATCTGCTGATGCTTATAGACAGTATTCACACGATTCTTTTTTTATTTTGTTTATTATTTTGTGAATTTTGTAGCTGAAATGTGAGAGGTGTGGAGAGGTGAGCCAGAGAGAAACTTGTGTGAGCTTGAACGAGACTGTTCCCCTTCCAGTCGGCAAGGGAACCGCCAATCTCATCCAGAAGGTAATCCCTCTTTCTCTCTCTCTCTACTTATTACACAAGGGGATTTGTAAGTAAAGGGTTTAGGGTTTGGTGAGAAAATCCAAGGATTCTTGTGTTTTCACTTGTTCTTGCGTGAATTAGTGAAATGCCGTGTTTGTTGAGTGCCTAATTGTTGTAAAAACGACCTTGAGATTCCCGTTTCGTTCTGCTTACCCTGTGTTCAATCAATTTGACGTATGCCTCTGGGAATGGGATGTTGGGTGACGTTTTGCATAGGTAGGTTTCAACTTGGTTGTATACAGTTTGTGTGAAATTGTTTCTTATCCCGTTTTTTGTTTGACTGATAAGAATTATTATCGATACTTGCGTTTGGTTTAGTGAGCATTTCAGATTTTTTAGTTGTTCGTAGAGCTCCGATCTTACATGAATTGGCCATATTTGTCACTTTGATTTGAGATAGTTCTGTTTGAAATTGTGTTGTGACATATGGGAACTTATTGATTTTGATGGCTACATTATTCCTATTTCATAATTTGAATTTTGATCGTATGGGTATGGGGCTTCTTCCTATGTTTGGTTTTACCCAAAATATTTTCTGCTTAAGTTTGTTGTACATGGTTGGTGATTTTTTGCAAATTTTTCCCTTGCAGTGCAAGTTTTGTGAGCGCGATGGAATGATTATGATGCACCCAGGTCGTGGTAAGCCACTGACGCAGGAAACAAGTGAGGCCAGGCAGTTTGCCCCATTGATGATCTTCGAGTGCAGGGGTTATGAACCTGTGGACTTTGTTTTTGGTGGTGGCTGGAAAGCTAAGTCTGTAAGTTTCTCTTCCTCACATGCAACTTTCAATCATATAGCATATCGAATGAACATTTCTCATTGTACTTGAGGCCAAAAAGTACCTTTTGTTGGACATGTGAGCTTATAAATAATATTTGTGTGAACATTCCTAAGCACTAAATCCCTGTACCTCCATGAACTTCAGCACATATGTATAAAAATTTTGCTATTTGAGAGGGGTGGTCAGTAAATGTGGTACAAACACCATAATTATCAACATAATTATTCATGTATTGAATTCTTTCATTCTTCACTTTTTAACTTCAGCGAGCATTAAGGATTGCTTTCCTGTTTTATATTGTGCTAGTTCCCTTCAAAGCTTATTTTGGTATTGTTGTTTGCTTGTGTTTTGATCCTTATTATTTTCTTGTGAGAAAGCTTTAGTCTCTGTCCTTTCCTATAAATGTCGCACGGTTAGTACTGTTACATTTCATGTTATGAGGATAGCACATTCGAGATGTGAGAACTGCAGATAATTGTGATGCTTTCTTTTTTGACCCCGTCTTTTCTTGTGATAACATTTAATTGTCACCAAGTTTAATTGTATTGCATCTGTATGTAAACTTAAACTAGTGTTCATTTCTTTTGTAGTTGAGTGGCACAAATTTTGAGAACATTGACTTGTCGGCTGGGGAGTTTGTTGAATATGATGAGAAGGGAGAGTGCCCAGTTATGATTTCTAATCTTCAGGCTGCTTTTGTGGTGAGTTCTTAGACTGTATGCCACATGAAATGCGTCTGGGTATATAAAAGTTGGTATGTGAACTTGGGAAGCTAACCGTTCGCTTGTGAATAAGATGGACTGTTTCCTGTGCCGTGAGCAGAAAAACCTATGTAATTCGTACAGTAAATGTTTTGAGAAAGTTCAGAGTTCATGTTGTGCTCGTTATTCGGTTTTAAAATGATTCAGTTACGTGGATACAACATGGTGTACTTTCGTTATGAATGCATGGATTGCAAAACTTGGTTGTATCATGAAATGTTTACGGGATCACGATTCAGATCGGTGGAGGCTTTATAATTCTACTCCGCTTGAGCAGTCAGAACTGCTTTTTTTTTTTTTCGAGTGTGGTTGAATGAGATTACACCTTGACAGTGCCTTCGACCATACAGTCTGCAATGCGACCCAAAGAGTCCAATTTCTCCAAATTTCGAGTTAAAAGTTTCTTATATTGTGGAATTCCTAATTTTTTTTGTTTTTTGAATAAACGATATTATCTATGCTAATGGATGGTAGAGTAGGCTAAGCCTTACAATGGGCTAGCAATGATGTAGTTCAAATTCGTCTTTGGCGAAAATCGAATCTAAGATCTCTCACTTACAAGTAAAGTAGAATACCATTAGACCGTAATATTAAGTAATTGAAATTTGTACTTATGTTTTGATTTTTTCGTCGCTAGTAAGTGCATGAATATTCTATATTTGGAATTAAAATTTGTTTGATTCCAATTATGTAGTAGTAAACATGCCATGAGTTCTTAATACTTGAGTTTAGGCTCGGTGAGCCATAATCGGAATTGAAGTTTTCTTTATTTTGATTCCGATTACGGAGTAGTAAACATGTTAAGCGATGGGTTCTTAATACATTGACATTACTTTAGTCTAAAGAAGCTGGCAAAATTGCACTGTAGAAATGAACAGTGTTTTGCATCACATTTCAGTTTATTTACAGGATTGCCACTCGGTTGCTTTTAACACACTTTCGTTTTATTTACACAATTGCCACTCAGGCTTAAGGATTGATTTTCAACCGTTCGCAGCTTTCGACTCGGGGAGAGAGGGGAGGGGGATATCATGGCTGACAGATTGGAGAGAGACGATGACTCCAATTTTTCACTCGGAGACAGCTGGGTGTCGCTGTGTCGAGCGGAGAGAAAGGGGGACAGAGACTCGGGGAGAGAGGGGAAGGGGACATCACGGCTGACGAATTTGAGAGAGACAGTGGCTCCCATTTTTGAGTCGGAGACAGCTGGGTGTCGCTGTGGCGAGGGAAGAGAGGGGACAGAGCGACTACAGAAGAGGGAGACATAGGGCCTGACAGATTGGAGACGGATGGGAGCTAGGGATTTGGACTGAGTGAGAGAAAGATTTTGCTAGCACCTCTGCCAGGATCTATGGGATTTTCTCCCATTTTAGAGAGAGAGATGGACAGGGAGAGAGATACACAGCGGAAAGCATGGGTGTGTGTATTCTTTAGGGTCGACGGGTTACGCACAGAGCCGGTGAGGAGGGGATGCCTCAGGGACGAATGGCAGCATCTGGGTTTTCATTTTTCTCCCTTGATTCAAAAGGTATTGCACTGCTTTTGTTTTCATTGTTTGGTGCCTAATTGCCATTTGATTTGTTAAAATTTTCTTTTATATTTTGTTCTTTCATTCAAATTCTAACGGATGTCTATAAATTGTTCAATTGGGTGCTAGATTATGTCTCTGTTTTTGTCAATTAGGATCTTCCACTGATTTAATTTGTTTTTTTCTTGATTACTTTTTGTGTGATTGATCCTTTTTCTCTTTTAGAATTGTTAAGGATATTTTGTTCCTCCATTAAAATTGTCATAGATCTTTATAGATTGTTTAGCCCACATTAGGATTTTACTCTTTTTCAGTTTATTGTTTTTAATTGTTGTTTACTGTTTGATTAGCCATTTCATTTATTAAAATTGTCATAGATATTTTTTCTCTCATTAATGCTATCATAGATATTTTATATTGTTTACTTAACTATTAGGGCTTGCTCTTAGTCTTTAGCAGGTTGTTTAGATCACCTCTACGATTAGCTATATGTCCACATTCTTCCTACAACCTAATCCATTGTCCTGACAACCATAATGTAGATAAATTTGTGCTGCTCCATTGCACATAGGCAGTAAGCTGTGAAGTATATCAAATATTCCATAAGATTAACCAACGTTTGACAAGTTTAAGCAGATACACCAACACAGAGAGAAAACACCTAAATTTACAGCAACATGAAAGCTTAACAAATAAAAAAAATTTCGTAAAACATATCTAAGTTTACACAGTTTATTGTTTTCAATTTGCTGTTGACTGTTTGATTTGCCATTCCCTTTATTAAAATTGTGATAGCTCATTTTTCCTTCATTAAAGCTGTCATACATATTTTAAAGTTGTTTAGTTAAGTTTACAGCTTGCTCTTTGTCTTTGTAAATAAGGGGCCTACACTGTTAAATTGTCATGGCTAATTTTCCCTTCATTATAGCTGGTCATAGATATTTTTAATTGTTTAGCTAACTATTACAGTTTACTCTTAGTCTTTCTAAATTAGGGGACTGCACTATGTTGATATTTGTGTTTTTCAGAAATTTTTTTTCCTTTGCTTATGTGTAAACAAAATTCAGTCTCCTTTTTAACTTTATTGTTTTTTAATTAGGGAGTTTAGGCTTTTTAGCTTTCTGTCTTTATAAATAATGGGGTTACACTCTGCTCATTTGTGTGTTTCTTCGTACTTTCCTACTATTTGCTTCTCACCAAATCACCTTCAGGTTCCTTTTCCACTTCACATCATTCGAATATCTCTATGTTCCTAGGTTGTTTTTCCTTTTCTTGGTTGCTTCTGTATTTTTGGGATGCACTTATAAATTTTATTTTTCATATGCATGTAGATCCAGCAAAAGCATACACATCAAACCCCTCATTCACACAACAGCCACCAAAGAGACCATTACTGAGGTATTTCTCAATCCATTTAAAAATTTTTTGTTAACTTTTGTTAACTTTTATACAAACTAATTTCTAATATAATTCTCCTTACTGTGTTTGGATACAAACTCTTTTTCCCTCTAATTTTTTGCCATGTCATGTATCCTTGCAGCTCAACCACCTGCAAGTTTTTGAGAAACAAAGAGCCTCATCCACAGGAATCTGTAATTCATAGCAGCAGGTATATCCTAAACTTTTAGTTATCATCTCCTTATTCATGAAAACTTTTTCCTTCTATTTTTTTGTTGATACAGTATATAGTGTCCTTTTTCTAACTTGGAGAAAATCATTTCGTATTATTTGGATTTGAGAACACCAGCATACACATGTCCTGGTTTTTTGGCATGCAACTAAAAGTGTGAAACATCAACTTGAGAAGAGTAAGACTAATTTCTTGGCTTTATTTATTTTATTTTAAAACCAAGCCTACATTCTTTAAAGCCACTATTAGTATTTAACTATGATTTGAATTAATTGATCTGTGGGGTGTTTCAATTGATCATCTGCAAATAAATATACAGTTCTTTAGTGGTACCAAAGGGTTGACAGTGGGAGTTCTTAGTCATCCAAATCTATTTCAACGCTGAACAAAGAGTTCAAACATATGTTATTCTCTTATATGTTTGTATTTGAATGGTAACAATGTTGTTCTTCAGCTGCAAAAATCATCCTTTTAATCCATTTCAACTTAGGCTCAACTTTACTTTCGTTTCAGCTTCATTTTCATGTTAATCATGTCCTGTTTGTGTGTGTTTTCTGTTGGCATTGGAGCGTGGTGCTTAAACTGAAAGCTCTGGGTTTATTTATTTATTTATTTTATTTTAAAACCAAGCCTACATTCTTTAAAGCCACTATTAGTATTTAATTACGATTTGAATTAATTGATCTGTGAGAGGACTGATTCCAAAATACATCTTAACAACTTTATCCGGCTGATAATTCAGAACATTATCAAGTCTAAATGATTGGTCGTCAGTTAAACCCTTCTGAGATATACCCTTTGTTTGTTGCACTCTCACAAATTTAATCCGTTCCACCATCACAGTTTTTTTAGCTTTTACAGTTTTCCCACGGTTTCTGGAATGCTTTTTCGATCTTAATACTATCTGCTCTGTTGCTTGATGTTATCAAATTTTAAAAATTGAAACAACGTTATAGTTCTAACCAAAATTTGTGAAGGCCAAGGATGTAACCATCTTTGGTTTCACATTGTTAATTTGAATTATGAAGTTATGAGTGAATAAATTGGGAGTCTGAAATGTGTGTCTGCCACATGGGTTGGGTTGGGTTGGGTTGTATTAGCGACTCTGTGTGAGTGTAGAGGTGGGTGTGGAGGTGGAGGTGGAGGTGGTGGGATGGTGGTTTTGTTTTTGCGCCATCCCAAGACCAAGGAGAATGCATGTGAGAAAATCTGATGAGTTTTAAACTCATCACTCACTTATTAGTCAAGTCAACCATTTTCCACTAAACTCTGATCTGCCAATTTGCCAATTGGCATATGGTTTTAATTTGAATAGGTTTAAGGATTAGGTTTGGTTGGATTTCAACCATTAGATTTCAGATTAAACGCATTAGGTTGAACGATTAGATTTGGTTGGATTTCAACCATTACATTTCCTAGATTTAAAATCTGTTTACTATCTCATTTAATTGTTGTATGTTACCTCATTTAACTCAAATTTAATGATATTTGCTCCTCCAATTTCTCAGATTTCCTAACGGATTTACTTTCTTTGGAAATTTCAGGAACCCTGATTCTGGGAGGAAGAATACACTGCATTGCCATCTTTAGGTATACAATTCTGCACGCTGATTACATGTTCAAAAGCCTAATTAGTTATACACCATTTTTTTTAATTACCTTTGCAAAGCTTTTTTACTTAGATTTTAAATATGTGATTAGTTTGTAAAGAATAAACGAGACAACTAATCATGGGTACATACTTCTTTTTCGATTTTATCCTCTGCATTGTTTCTTGAATGAAATTGGATTCATAGATGTAGGGATACAGCAACAACTGAGGTGTGAATAAAAGGTCTAGCCGTAATGATTTTAGGGTTTAGAATTGATTTGAAAATATGAGAAAATGCTGCATTCTCTGTTTTTTTTTATTTTTTATTTTTTTTTATTTTTTTATTTTTTTGCTGTAGTGATTCCAACTTAGTATATACCCATTTTTATAGTACCATGAATAAAGAATATGCAATTGCTAGGATCTCAATTTGATAATCCGATTATAAATGGATCTATATAAATCAAGGCTAATTCAGTCCAACTTGATATAGCATGACTTAATATAACATATC